ATGTTAATAGTCAAAACGTTTCTTAATAGCCAAAAAGTATGTTAATAGCCAAAATGTGTGTTAATAGCCAAAGTGTATGTTAATAGCCAAAATGTGTGTTAATAGCCAAAGTGTATGTTAATAGCCAAAATGTGTGTTAATAGCCAAAGTGTATGTTAATAGCCAAAATGTGTGTTAATAGCAAAGGTGTTATTAATAGCCAAAATATGTGTTAATAGTCAAAGTGTATGTTGATAGCCAAAATATGTGTTAATAGCCAGGTGTATGTTAATAGCCAAAATGTGTGTTAATAAACAAAGTGTATGTTAATAGCCAAAATTTGTAGAAATATAGTAGCTAAAATACTGATAAATATATGAACAATTCCATTAATTATGATCGATCGAATATTCAAGTTAGTTAAAGAAAGTCCTCGAAAAAGTTTTGAATAACTGTAACTCTTTTAGTCCATTTCGAACAAATGAAGGATAGAGCTGAACTTGTCCAAATACGCTTCATCTATTTTCAAGCAGCCGTCTTTATTGTCGTAAACAGGAATTGTGACTTCTCCTAATGTTATGTAACCAGAATGAGGGCCTTCATTCTTGTAAACAGCCGTATTACCAATCCATCCTGTAACAATTGATCACGCGTTTAAAGTTACATCAAAATATATAAATATAAACACTGTATATATATGAAGTGTAAATATCACAGACAAACTATAACACGCTTATAACAATATAAAATCTAATGAAAGAACATCACTATGTGGTGTTCCACAAGGCTCTGTATAAGGCCCTATTTTTACCCAAGCTATCAAGTGTAAAATGTAAATATCGAAAACAATATTTTACAAGCTTATACAAATAAGCCCCTTATGGTTCATACCTGGAACATAATATATCTGATCAAATGAATGAAAGAAGTTAAAGATACTACAGGATTAATATCCGAAGTTTGTAAAGAACAACTACAAGGCAATGAAGCTAAATCCATTGCTTGATTCTGGGTATCTACTGATCATTTAGACAGGCATTTCTTTATATCCATGCATCATATGATGAAATGGAATTGATCGAATCAGATTCTAAAAATGAAGGGGCAATCTAATTCTTACAATAATAACCCTTTGAACAACAATGTTAAATGCAAAATCGTACAAAGAAACATGATATTCTAATTATGAGTCAGCAAGGGATCATGACAATGTGTAAAAACAGTACTAGTAAAAACGATAATCTACATTGCATGGTATTCTGAAAGTGTGAACAAGTGGGAGTCCAGGAATTTTCAACAAGTCATTTTCGTGAAATGAAATCGGCACTATAAACTGACAAATGGCAAGGAATACCATGACCAAGCTTTATACATTGGAAAAGTGTGACTACTTTCCGAAAATCACAATCAACTCATCGCTACCTTTTATTGCTTAAAACTCTTATTAAAATATTAGTTAATGTTTGCAAATATTGGAATCAACTTACCCATAACTCCACCGGCGTTGATAGTCATGCCTGTTTTTTCTGTGACACCAAAGTTCAAGAAATTAGTTCCCTTAGCGCGTCCTTTACGAGTGACAACAAGCTCAACCGTGTTATTGTTTAAGTAAACACGGACTTGTTTCTTTCCGGTCATCATTAATCCGCCTTCGAGCTTAACGGTATCTTCTTTCCACGGGTAAATTGTTTCACATTCTGATGTCCTCAAGATTACCTGATCTGGTGAGATCGAAATCTCGATGTCGCTTCTTGTTACATTAATTTGCCCGATGTAGTCGACAGAAGACTCGAGGTTGGCGTCCTCATTCTCGATGAACGTTGTTTTGATATCTAAAAAAGAAACTGATAGAAATTAGTTACTTCCGATGTAATGTGGGCACGCGGGGTATAGCTACCTAAAAAATCTGCTGTTCATCGTCAAATTTGAGTCTCAACTAGCGAAAATCTCAGTAACAGATCGTATTTCTAAGGGAGAGGACATTCCAAATTTAACGAAGATATCTACCTATCTCGTAATCTCTGAAGAACAGATATGCTGAACCAGGTTTTCCCACAAAGTCGTAGCAAAGTCGTCGATGTTCAGCGCCTTTAATGGTCTGAGATATGTGAGGATCCCCACATATCATTATTCCTGCTTGATTGTTTCTGCAGTTTGGCCTGCTTGGTTCGTTACAGTCGTTGTCATCTCTACATTCCGAACATCTGCAGTCGGATTTACAGAATGGACGATGCCGATAATCGCAACCCAAATCGTCTTTGAAACACTCCAAGCCACTGACTTCAAGCACTAAAGATTATGAGATGATTATTAGCACATATTGGGTGTCCAAAATAGGTCTAAATATGGTTATTTGTCTATCTCTTTCTGCACATAGTATGAACCATCCGTCATATCGTCTTTCGAAGACATCAGCTGTAACTTCTGTTTCTCAATTCGCTTGTCTTGTTCATTATAATATGCAATATCATTAGACTTGGTGATGTATGCAAGAAATGTATAATTATGGCCAAATATCCCTCTGGTCAGAATGAATCATTTTAAGGTGTGACATGAAGACTATAATGTCACATAACACTTTGGAAATTGATTAAGCGTTTGGACTCACATGGGCTGAGGTTGAGGCCATTAAGTTCAGCAAGGGTGTACTAGTATTGATTTGAGATGAGATGTGCTCCATTGACTTAACACGAGGATATCATGACTAACCTGACCACGGTAAAGTCAGATACCGTTGTCACAAATGGCGGACGTAACCGTCGCTTCAACTGTTCAACTTTAGAAAGACAACGGTATATGGTAATTACAGTGTCCGTTGTCCCGTATTTCATTTTGATCGGTTAAATTAAAGAACTTTATTTCGATGGTAGAACAATATTAACTGTACAATGAGTATTAAGACAATTTGATTGATTGTTGTTCCAAATTTAGTCTAGGTGCTCTATCAAACATACAGTTCATGAAAATCTAATTGAAGCGACGGTTATGTCCGCCATTTGTGACAACGGTATCCGATTTTAAACTGTTGTCAGGCTATTCCGAGCTGCAATACAAGCCATTGGCTTCCATCCATAATCACAAATTTACCAATTATACACTATGGCCTGAATCGAATGCAAATTAAAAAAATTTCATAGTATGGCACAAATGGTATATCTCATCAAATGTGCAAATATGACGTTTGCAATCGATTCAAGTCATACTTTATACAAGATTTCATCATTTTCCGCTACAAAATGGCTTTAGAAAAATGCTCCAAGGGCTAGCTTTTCACTTATCAAATGTCATACAACTTTGTAAGTCCAAAGATTATACTATTGTGTTTCATTAATTAACAAGATATGTGGATAAGATGTAAGGATGCGAAGGATGCAAATGGATTTTGACAGACACAAAAAGTTTAGCTGATTTAGCGTCTACGCCTCTACACTTCCTGATTTAATAATATGGACCTTAGTAAGTGGCCAATGCATCAATACAGTACTGACTATAGGTCAACAAGATACTAGAATAGTGCTAGTATACATAAATGCAATAATAGAAGCACTGCATGTATATTCATTTTGAAAATCAGGTGAATTACTTTTACTTCATGGGGAAACCATAATGGAGAGTGAACTTTATAGCATTGGTTTTGAAGTGGACAATATAGCCTATATGGTTGAAAGGTAACTTACGTCTCGGTAAAAGGCATTTTTTAAACCAATGGACAAAATTTATTACAGTTTGTAATGACCCTCTTTCAATTGGCTCAAGTGTCCCACCTCGACCATCAATTAAACCGAGGACAAGCTCTATGTCGTCCTTAATACGCCACAATTTTGTCGCAAAGGTTTGGCCCCAAGTACAAAGATTCGGAACAATCTGGTTATCTACATTATTTAGTATATTCTCCATGTTTCCAAACTGCTCGATACCCACTAAGTCAGTAAGTACTTGATCGATAAGGCCTTGTTCGGTGGTATCAAATATCGTAATTCCGTTAATGGCACCAGTTACAGTCGTGAGGATATTGCCAATACCGGTTGATGCGTCAATCAAACCTGTGTGTGTGAAATACACATGTAATGCATAGTTTTTTGTGTGTTATCTAAAATAAATAAAACATAAAAACATACAAAACAAACGTAGCTTCAGGGAGTTCCAACTAACTATTTGTGGGGTGTTGATTTTAATTCTAGATGTCTTATTTCATTCCAGAGCATTGGTAGAAAAGAACAAAAAACGTATACTTAAAAAAACAAAAATAGTACTAAAACAATATAAAAAGTTCACCAAATCGCAACCAATCCTATTTTCGCCTCTTGACAAATGATAAGTTCGTAGATCTACCCCTGACTACCAATGATATGTTTGCTAATGACACGGATGGCCCATAAACTTACCTGTAAGGCAGCCACTGCAACAACCTCGTGAATCCACGTCCGGTAGACACACCCCGTTCTGTGTGATGGGACTGACGATCTGACGGCACTCATAAAGAGGGAAAAAACTTGGACACGTTGGATTACATGTCACACCTGGACCTAAATGAATATAAAACATGAAAACAAGTATCATGTTCTGCATTCCGCATATCCATGAATTTTAGCAATTATTTCTCATCAGCGTTTCATGTATATAGCGTTTTAATATGGCCGAATCCCCAACATCAGGTGAACACCTTGTACCTCTGATTTTCGATTTCGCTTTTACAATTTTCAGAAATTCTAATTTAACAAAATAAAATGAGCCATCGTAGCTGATCTGTATTTTATTATGCATTCTATAAACTCACTAGTCGCCCACATTTGACTTGAAACTGTCAAAGGTGACGTCCAAATAACAGCAACAATGAGCGTGATTCTTGGAACTTCCATCATAAGCGAAGCAATGGGTGCTTCAGTATGAGAATGCCTCCTCAAACTGCTGGACTATGATGTATAAATACATAACGATGAAAAGATAAATGCTGCCTGACGTTCAGCTATTGTATGGTATTGACAGCTTTTGACGACAGCATTTTCCCGTTGACAACATTTGAATCACTTGATAGACAGTTTTTAATGTCAATAATTCCGGTTGAACAAATAACCAAGGAGGGTTGAAACCCATTACTTTAACGCGATCTTCCGTTTCCTGGCGTGGAACAATTAAGTAATAATATTTGTATATGGTTCATCTTTGGACGGAGTATTTCATTGGAAGAGGACATTGCGAGTATTATGGTGATATAATATAGTATTCAAACGCCCCTAGCAGTACTAGTCTTCAAGACATGGAAAACATCGTTACCAAATTGTTTCACGCCAGGCAACATGAGATCTAGATTGAATGATTGATGCCAATCCTCATTGACGAACATTGTATTTCACAACTTCATGACATTTGCGCTTGGAAACTACTGTCAAATCCAGAAGGTGCCACTAAATATGGATTGCATTTTTGTTAAAATTTCAACTTTTCACAGTAATAGAAATGATTTATTTTCCAAAGTTGAAACAAACGAGTTACTCAACGAGTTACGATGATTCATTTACTAACTTGATATCGAAACGTTATAATGTTGGGAAATCAATGCATTGTTCAGATTATTGTTTGTTGCTCTATATTATATAGTGTGTTATAACATACCTATGATGGTGTATAGTGCAAAGTGTACACAGGACAGCGGGCCAATATAAGTTTTGAAAAGCCCGCGCCCGCTAACTTTCTGATTGGTCAAGGCGCTGACGTCATAACCAATCAATCGAAGATAAAACTGCGCGAGCAATTTTTCTAAACTCATGTCAATCAATTTCAAACAATTTGTTTGTCAATTCTATAAGAAAACGGTACTCTCTGACAAATCTACATCATCATAGGTATGTTATAAATCATTTATGTCACTATCGTGGCACATATGCCCTCGGTTCTCAGAGATCAATGTCCCTCCCAAGGTCGGGCTATATATCACTGAGACCTCGGGAATATATGCCACGATAGTAACTAACCTCTAATTATTACATAGATATGATGATGTATGGTGTAAACTGTACAAAAGACAGCGGGTCAATATAACTTTTGAAAAGCCCGCGCCCGATAACTTTCTGATTGGCCATACCGATCAACTGAAGATAAAACTATGCGAGCAATTTTCACTTCAGTCACTTCAGTCACCATTTATTTCACATAGCATCACTTAATCTCAATTTATATCATAAAAATGTATTTACTAATGATATCGTGATTGATAAATGTCCTCAATGGCTAAAGTTTAGAAAATTTGCTCGCGCAGTTTTATTTTCAGTTGATCACGCAATGCATTGGGACACAGGGACAGACCATCAATTTTCGGTTGGTTGCGGTAAAAAAATGTTGGAACGTCGAAGGTACGATTTTTCCTTTTTCCTTATTTCACGCGTTGTAGGCAGAATCCCCACGATATTTTTACCACAAACGTGTATCAATATTATATGTTTTAGAAAATGTACATGTTTGGGAAAGAATAGCTCAGAAGAGAAAAGAATTTATCGATTTAATTTAAAGTTACATAAACGGTATGGGTGAAAAGTGCAGATCTTAACTGTTTTTCGAAATACTGTTTATGTAACTTAAGTGAGGAATCAAATCGACGATTCTGTTGTCTTCTGAACTAGCTGTTTGCAACTTTGTTCAATTTCTTAAACATATGATACTGATGTCGTGGGAATTCTGCCTATGAAATAAGGAAAAAAGAAAAATCGTACCTTCGATGTTCCGACATTTTGTTACCGAAACGAACCATTAACCAGCGTAATCGAGTGGATCACCAGTGAAATACACATTCATTTTATAGTGGTCAAACTATAGCTATTTATCAACCACGGGGATCAAATCACTGCTGCGTTCAGTCTCTTTCCCGATGATCCTCTAGTGTTGAAGGTTAAGATTACACTTTAACGGGGGAAATGTATTTCTTTGTTTGATAAGGAAACGGTTCAAATTAGCGATTTACTCTGAGGAACCAGCATAATATGCCTCGGAAATTATTAATCTTCAGAGGCAAAGGAGAAACGATCGCACTGAACGAACAACTACTGTATTACTTAAAATTGTAGGAAAGCTTCCAACCTCCAACGGCTGTGTTGTTTTGTCTAAACATATGTTTCAAAATCTAATTAACAGATAAATTATGATTGACGTTCGACTATTGAATGACAACAGTCCCCGTTGACATTAAATATTGGTAAATGGAAAGGACAATGTTATCTAATTTGTCATTCCCCAGTGAACATTGATACTATTGACTACATATTTGTATCATTTCTCATCGTCGCTTTCCACTGGGTCTAGAGGTAGGATCAATCGAAACCTTGTGAATCAAGATGTCATTTCTGACGACGGCATTTTCCATGAATCAAGTCTTAAAAACAATTTCCACGTTAGATTTCTCAGTCGAGAAATTAGTACTAACCCAAAATTTCCAAAAGGCCTTAGTTAAGCTTTTTTCAATCATAAGAATGTGGGCTTCTAAACAGGACATCGGACTTGCTTTTTAGAACTTTTTGTTGACACTGAATGAGTCTTTTGCAATATGCAGTCGCGACTTATGTAATTTATGGGGGGGGGGTTATCGATGCGTTTTTGAGAATTTGAACGTGAACGTGTAATCCAATGGCACATTACATTATTGTCCATCTTTCAGTTGTTTCTCAGAGCCTTTATCACGCCTCACCATCGCGTAAGCAGGCGTCACCGTACAGCGTCAAAAAATAGCGGAGTACAGTTTTCTGTAGGTAACGCAAATTAACTGCTTTGAAGCAAAAACTATGACAAGGGTTTAAAAAAATCAATTTGATGAAAACTAATACGATTTCATGTGAAATAAAAACAGCATTCTCTTAGAAATGGTTTTAACTTTCTGATTATGATAAACGTTTTACGAGCACTGTTCGGATTTTTTCTCAGTGTACTACTGTTTTTTTTACGCTGTACGGTGACGCCTGCTAACACGATGGTTAGGCGTGTTTATTACAAGTAGGGAAAATCATAATTCTACACATTCACGTAAAACCCTGCAGCTGAACAGTTCTCCTATCTCACTCTACTATACCTTGCATTTGATGTTCATGAGCAACCCATTTGGCTTATTAGTGATGATTATGTTATTTGTTTGTACTTGTCTGTTCCTTATAATGGTTTATCGGATAACTGTCAGATTTTAATAAGGTACTTTCAAAAATATACTAAACAATACAATTAAACAAACAGAGTATCTTATGCATTCATAGTACTATAGGGGTTAGGTATTGTAGAGTGAAATCAAGCTTGCATTTAACATATCTGAAATATGAGTTTGTTAAAAACATCTGATCCATATACACTTCCCTCAAAAAGTTTGGCAACAATAGATCCCCCATTGGACTACGTGTAAAAGCCGCTTTATGTCTGATAATTATTTATACAGAACCTGCAATAAAATTCCAATGATAAAAATGAAACAATGTAATTTGACTTTTATTTATCAACAGCATACATGTACATTGCTGGAACAGAGATGAATCAAACATCTGCCATATATCCTAATGTTATAGGCTGATATCTGTCTCGGGAAAACACAATCAATAGGAACAGATGTGAACGTTTTGTCACTTTTTGTCTATATTTTAAATATTTCCAAGCTATGCGTGATATTGTAGATTGTAGTACATCTATCATAATGATGTTCTATTTTGTATTTTTAATATATGACTGTCTGAATAAGTGCTCGTCTCGATCTGAATAAGTTTCAAATTTAATCAACTCTCAATTTGTTCGAAATGGACTAAACTTTAATCCATTTCGAACAAATGAAGAATAGAGCTGAACTTGTCCAAATACTCTTCATCTATTTTCAAGCAGCCGTCTTTATTGTCGTAAACAGGAATTGTGACTTCTCCCAATGTTATGTAACCAGAATGAGGGCCTTCATCCTTGTAAACAGCCTTGTTACCAATCCATCCTGTAATAATTGATCGCGTGTTTAAATTAAGTTACAGTAAATGAAATACTTTTGTTTGAATTTTGTTTCTAGCTTTAAAAACTAAATCAACTGAAGAAAAAATTATTGAATCACAAATTCATTTGGGACAGAAGCATTCCATTTGCAACATATTGCTGTTTTGTGAATTACATTTTTTATTGCAAATTATAGCAAAAATGTTCATTCCTAATGCATTGACATAGACTTTAGTCATATAAGCGTGGCAGTTGAACACGCGGGGTACAGTACATCACAGAGGGTAATAAAATGTGAGCAATCAGCTGAGATGTTTTCATCGTTACAGAAAGACGTGGTCCAAACCAAGCTATTTTGGCCTTACCACTGCTAGAAGCAATTTAAAAGGTTAAAAAAGTATCAAATTTTGTTTATTTCAGATAGTAATGTATAATGTGCAGCAAAGCTGTGGCCTTGTATAATTTAGGGAGTTGCAGCTAAGTTAATTTTTCCGAAAACAACATGGCAGAGAAGTATCAAAATATTAGAGGACACAGATATGATAGCTAAACTAGAAAACAAACAAAAATATACAAAAGTTAGGATAAATATAAATGTTTCTATTTTTACATAAACTGTTTCAATATGGTGATTTGATTGCTTATTTTTTAAATTCAAAGTAGTCACAAACATTACTGTTTTGACTATAAGTAGATAGATAAGTTTAATATGGGAGCTATAGGATGCTTCGATCAACCACATAGCTTGACTTGGTTTCTAGATATTTTTATATGTAAATGTCTGGAACAACATCCTGGAAAGTGTAGTTGACAATGAATTCCATTATCAAACCTATAGTCTACTACACAAAGTCCCAATGTAGTAGGCTTAAACGGTATAACGCGCGGTAACGGTTCGGTAAAAGGAATTAGATTTGCGTTACACGTATCTTACCCGCGCGCTATACCGTATTCTACATTCGGAGGTTTTGTAGGTTTAAATGTGAAAATCAAGTTCACTGTCTAGGATATTGTTACAGACATCCCCAAAAAAATATCTAGAAATTAGACCAGATCTTTTTGAAACGATGAAAACATCAGTATGCTCAAATTTCATCACCCTCGTGTTGAACCGTACTCCATAGGTATGATAAGGAATGCTTTCAGCTAGAAATATTCGAGAAAGCGTGACTATTTTTCAAAATGCAACACCCAACTCATCGCTACCCTTTTATTGCTTAAAACCTTAATATTAGAATTCGCAACTATTGGATTCAACTTACCCATAATTCCACCGGCGTTAGTAGATAACCCTGCCCTTTCTGTGACACCAAAGTTTAGGAAAGGAGTTCCCTTTGCGCGTCCTTTACGAGTGACAATAAGCTCAACCGTGTCATTGTTGAAGTAAACACGGATTTGTTTCTTTCCGATCATCATTAGTCCGCCTGCGAGGTTAACGGTATCTTCTTTCCACTGGTAAATTGTTTCACATTCTGAGGTTATCAAGATTACCTGATCTGGTGAGATAGATATCTTGATGTCCTTTCTTGTTACATTAATTTGCCCGATGTAGTCGACGAAAGACTCATGGTTGGCGTCCTCATCCTCGATAAATGTTGTTTTGACATCTAGATTATAAAATTGATAAACAATTAACGTTCGTAATTTCAACGTAACGTACGTAGGGATACACAGGGAAACTGCTCATTGTAAATATTCCAAGTTGAAACCTCATGCACATGGAAATGATAAGTACCTACCTATCCCTCAACACCCTGTCCCTAAACTGACATTCTAATTTTGAACAGACATTTAGCCAATGGAGGGCTGGGGTATATGCCTAGAACTACCAATATACGGAAAAATGAAGCTCGATAGTTTCATTATTCTTAAAATCAACATCGGCGACAAGTTGCCACAAATTGAGTGGGAAAAACAGGTGGATAGCATCATCGATTATTACGTGAAGGTCCTTGATTGCGTCATCAGCAGGCATCTCAGATCATTCACATTTGGCCCCTAACCTGAATGCACAATCTGAGTGGGGCAGTGATGATTTGAACTTAGGCATCACTCGCTGAAGGACTCCACTTGTCTTTCCTTTTGAGCCAGAGCCACCGTGAGTTGGACTCTGCCACAGGTTCTACTACTTTGACAGCTGACTTCAGCTGGGATGGTGATAGTCTTAGCTGGGACAGGAGGTAGGGTAGTGAAGATGCTGGGAAACCTCTGCATCCCACTTCTATTGGGAACTGAATTGCATGCCATCCTCTAGTTTTAGCCTTATCAACTTTTAGTATTTGGCATTTAGCTTTTTAGCTGATGCGATACTTCAAGTCGGTCTTTCCAACACACTGTAAGCTCAATGCCGGGGCTCAATGATGATGATGATCATGCTATGTTTTAACATCAGAAACGGAGAGGAGCCTGGAACATCAGGACGGAGACTGGTAGCTACTATCTCCTTTGGGAGAACGAGTCTTTGAATTCGAAAGTGGTCAGTTCGTAAAGTGCAATTTGATGCCTTTGATATAATACTGTATAAGTGGTAATTTTGCCTAATTATTTAATTTGCCTATTTCCTAATTTTTGCTAGGTTCGGAAAATTAAATGTCGGAAATATTGTCTTTATAATGTTATCCAATGGGAGGTTTTTTGTCATTAGGAAAATTGAAATTAGGAAAATGATGAAATTTGACCATTCGGAAAATTACCCACTCGGATTAAATACCACTTATACAGTATTAGACCAAGTAGAGGCAGAGATGGCTTCACGGGACCTTACTTCCTTCTTTGGAAATAACAGATATGACATCATATCATGAATATATGATAAATGTGTGATTGTATATAGGAAAACAATTTTGGGGGAAAATATGTGTTACCTATCTCGTGATCTCTGAAGAACAGATACGCTGAACCGGGTTTTCCCACAAAGTCGTAGCAAAGTCTTCGATGTTCAGCGCCTTTGATGGTCTGAGATATGTGGGGATCCCCGCATATCATTATTCCCGCACGGTTATTTCTACAGTTTGGCCTATCAGGTTCGTTGCAGTCGTCGTTCGTTCTACATTCCGAACATCTGCAGTCAGGTTTACAGAAGGTGTGATGCCGTCCCTCGCAACCCAAGTCGTCTTTGAAACACTCCAAGCCACTGAGATCAAGCACTAAAGATTATGAGATAACCATTAGTACATATATTCACCAGCTGCAGCTCTGACCTTTGTTACAAATACAGTGAGTAGGCTTACTAGTATTTGATTTGTTGTTTTACTATATAACATATATAATATACTACCATCGACAAACTAGTTTTTATTCAGATAACAATCTTGTGTTTTAGACGTTTGAATATATGCACAGCAAAAAAATGTGTATGAATACAACGAATCCTGACGCCTGGATACATACAGGATTGGCACACAATCAAGGTGCATATCCTGTATGAATGCTGATGTCAGGATTCATTGTATTCATACACATTTTTGCTGTGATGGCCATTGCTGTATATAAATGGTTTCAAAACAACACAATGTCTAAGCATTGGTAAAGTGACACCATACTAAGAAAAGAATAGACATATGATCCCCGGGCAATATATTGCCTATGTATTGGACTTAAAAGCCATCGGGGATTCAGTGAAATAGTGGCTAACCGCCTACTTACATCTAGGTAGCAGGCACTGTTTAAACCAAAGGACCAAGTCTAATACACGTGTAAAAGCATCTCTGTCTTGTGGCTGGGGAAACACCCCTCCGCGACCATCAAATGAATCTAAGATACGCTCACAGACGTCTTGAATACTCCACAGTCTGGTCGCAAAGATCTGCCCCCAGGTACAAGTAGTCGGAACAATTTGGTTATCTACATTATTCAGTATATTTTCCATGTTTCCAAAGAAGTCGAGACCCACTAAGTCAGCAATTACTGCATTGATAAGGGCTTGTTCGAAAGGATTAAATATCCCAATAATTCTGGTAATGGTGTCAGTTACAAACGTGAGCAGGTCTGCAATAGCTGGTGATGCGTTAATGGCACCTGTGAACGGAAAATACATATGTTAACCGATGGTTGGGGCCGTCTTATGGGGGATTGAGGGGTTCTGACGAATCCCCCCTCCCCCTACCCCACCTCAGGAATTATTTTGCCTTGCTGCAAGTAATAGTTGTGTGTGTAACATGTGTAAGGAACTGATCAAATTCATTGAAGCAACTTTGGCCAACTTCGGTAGCGGTCAATAAATCGTGACCCTTACCTCTTCGGTAGCGGTCAATAAATCGTGACCCTTACTTCTTCGGTAGCGGTCAATAAATCGTGACCCTTACCTCTTCGGTAGTGGTCAATAAATCGTGACCCTTACTTCTTCGGTAGCGGTCAATAAATCGTTACCCTTACCTCTAACGCAACCGGCACAACACCCTTGTGAATCCTCAAGCAGTAGACATGCACCTTCCTGTTGGAATGGATTGGTAATCCCACGACACACCCATTGCGGAATACTTAAGAACTTCGTACACGTTGCCTCGCATATCGGCCCGGGAGCTAAATGAGAATAATAAAAAGATGGAAACTACCATATTATGTTACTCGCCCCTCAATCACATGACTTTCAACAATATTGTTCAAATTATTGAGTATGAATATTGTTCAAATTATTGAGTATCAATATTGTTCAAATTATTGATAATCCGATTTTAATGTCGTCCGAATTTGATGAATCTGGCTTTTCCACCCGGCCTCTTAACTGATAAATTCCGTCCACATGAACCCCTCATACCTCTGATATGAATTTCTATATTTACAATCATGTCTAGAATATTTCAGTTTAGACAATTGTAGATGATTTGTACAGGGTACAAGTTTGGGGTGTATGGAGATGAAGTGTCATCTGACCTTATGACTTATGACTCAGTGGCGCTACTCAGTTACAGTATCATCTTAAGGAAGTTTTGGGCAGCGGTTAGTTGCCACATGGGATTTAATTGTGCCATATAGTGGTTTTAGCAAGATGGCACTACTCCTTATACCTAAAATGACTCACTTTGGCAACAGGATCATAAACCATTGATCAGATGACCCTTCATCTCCACACAACCTATACTTGAATCCACCTGATTTCTTTTTGTGATGCTTTTTGAAAGACAAATTGTATACCAACACAATCCCCAGACAATTGCTGACCTAAAGAAGGCAATCACTGCTAATTACAAAAGCTGAATGTGTAAGGGTATCTTGCCATGTGAATCCAGTTCTGCCTTGGCCTCAACTGTGGCAAATTGGAGCATGTAATATAAATGATCACAGCTCCTGAACCAGTTGACTGGTTGTATTGAAGCTTCAGGAACAAAATTCCATGGAACAGTTCTGATGTGTGCAAAATTTCATTGATGTTATTTGTCTAATTATTGCCTATTTCAATGGTCTATTTTTCCGGTCACTCTGTATTTTGTTAGCTATGAAATAGGCAATCGTGGCTAATCTGTATTTTGTTAGGTGTAAGAATTTAGGAGATATTGCCTACTTCAATGGTCTATTTTTCCGGCCACCCTGTATTTTGTTAGCTATGAAATAGGCAATCGTGGCTAATCTGTATTTTGTTAGGTGTAAGAATTTAGGAGATATTGCCAACTTTAATGGTCTCTTTTTCCGGTCATCCTGTATTTTGTTAGCTATGAAATAGGCAATCGTGGCTAATCTGTATTTTGTTAGGTGTAAGAATTTAGGAGATATTGCCTACTTCAATGGTCTCTTTTTCCGGTCATCCTGTATTTTGTTAGCTATAAAATAGGCCATCCTAATAGCTGATCTGTATTACATAATGTGTGAAATGTCTTCAGTAAACTTACCAGTTACCCATGTCAATTGGCTTGAAACTGTCAATGGTGACACACAAACCATTGCAACAATGAGTGTGATTCTCTGAGCTTCCATCATGGTCGAAGCCGCAAGTTCTTCTGTATGGGGTTTTCTACCTCAAACGGCTGATTGTTGCTTTGTCTAAATTTGACATATTGATGAACAGATAAATGATGTCCGACGCTCGACTATCGAATGGCAACAGTCCCCGAGGACATTGAATGGCACTGGCAGAAAAAGGGCATCTGATGTGACATTTCATGGGGACATTGATGACGACACATGTTTGGACTTATCTGACTTTTTGGGTTATGGTATGAAATATTCGTTTTGAAAAAGCAATTTAAATATGATGTATCATGTGGATTAGTGGACGTTATGATTGGATTAAATTGTTACTGTTCTCAATCGAAATTTTACATATAAAAATCGACATTATACATATATGCTTTAGATTACAAAATGCTCAAATATCTTCTTTATAACATGAATGTGGTAGGTGATCGAAACTTTCCTATTTTGTCATACTATATAATATATTTCATAGTACTACGTATGCGATATTTCAAGACACTATGTTAAGTAGGAACAATCTATTCAATCTATCCCCCTCCCTTTATACACGGATCCTGGGATCAGGGTGAAAATCATGGGATATATGTGAAGACAGATGTTGTAAATATTCTTCCACAATTTCAAACTATAATATTCATTTCTTTGGTACAAAAGGTAAAAACTTAAGATTTTCGCAAAAACTCCAGCCATTTTTGAAGCGGCAGCCATCTTTAAAAAAACTGCGTAAAATTATTTATCAATATTTATTGTCTAATCATACCATCGCTATTTGAGAAATAGATAAAACGACATTTAATCAGCTGTGCAGTTTTCAATTGGTGTTCTTTCAAATGGAAGATTCTCTGGGTTCAGGTCCATTTCGTTGGCTATCCTGACAAGCATTTGTACGATGTCCTCGTTCAGACATTTAATCATATGTGCAGTTTTCAATTGGTGTTTTTTCAAATGGAAGATTCTCTGGGTTCAGGCCCATTTCGTTGGTTATCCTGAGAAGCATGTGTACGATGTCCTCGTTCAGACATTTAATCATATGTGCAGTTTTCAATTGGTGTTCTTTCAAATGGAAGATTCTCTGGGTTCAGGTCCATTTCGTTGGCTATCCTGACAAGCATTTGTACGATGTCCTCGTTCAGAGTTGGGGCTCTTGATAGGATGTGAACACAGTAGTTTGTGACTGAGGATGAAGTACCGCAATCATACGAGATGGCATATTCCTCCCCTTGGTCATCAATGACAATTACACGATAATCAACCTAAAAACAGAAAAATATAAAACCGTTTTTCACAGTATTTTGTGACAGAGGATGAAGTACCAGAATCATACGAGATAGCATATTCCTCCCCTTTGTTATCAATGACAATTACACGATAATCAACCAAAACCCAGAAAAAATTAAACCGTTCTTCTGAGTAGTTTGTGACAGAGGATGAAGTACCACAACCATACGAGATGGCACATTCCTCTCCTTGTCATCAATGACAATTACACGATAATCAACCTAAAACCAGAAAAAGATCAAACCGTTTTACATTACTGTCCCTAATATAAATAAAATGCAACATAATAAGAACTTAAGCTTTATGGATGGGACCCCTCCCTTCGTCCAACAGTTAGACTTTGGCATAAATTAGAATATAAGAAATGTACTTACAGGTGGCACAAACGGAAGCAAGCGTTGTTTCCATTCTCCTGGTCGACTCATATTGTAAAGCAATCCTGAAAATAAAAATAGTTAAGGTTATACACAAGGAGATAAAAGCAGTATACTAGTATTCGTTCCAATAGTCCCATTATGGATGTATATCGTGAGTTAGGGTGCTAAGGATCACACACATCAATGGTAATGTCGTATAAATATTTAACATGTAAAGCTCCCTACTTTTTTTAGACTCCAGATTTCATTTTGTTTGCTACTTTTGCCAGTTTTATATTTAGACTTTTCTTATGGCGTCTATTTCTCTGGACTTTTTCACAACTGATTTCTCGCCAACTAGAGCTCCCTTAAACATGTTTACATGTGCCAAGGACGATTGGAAATTAGGTCAAATTTCTATCTTGGTCAAAGGTTTAGAACTAGGTCAAATAGTAATTTTCTCAGCCTTTCTTCATTTTTTACTCTAAACCTTCTCAAGATATCTTGGTCTGAAAAAGTAAGTCAACAAGAAAATTCTCCAAATTCGACGTGTGAGGTATCAAAATACCAGGATTCCGAATCTGCAATCAGAATTGAAATCAGACGTTTTGTTGACCTTCTATGACCTTTTAAAGTAAAATCTAAAAATCATTATTTTCACTTTGATATCGATGAAAAACTATTGGGAACTATCGGGAATGTAAAGATGCCCATTTTACTCAAATCTTTTTAAAGTTCAAAAGTCAAGGTCAAAATCTAGGTTCTAATAGTAAAAATCTGAAATTCTTCGGTTTGAACTTTGTTCAATTTCACCAATCTAGTTCAATTTTTCTTTCTAGTTATTCATTCTTTCAGTTTTCTCACCTATTAGAAGGGCTTACTCAAACCTACTTACATTATCAACTAGATAACGGCAACTCCGCGGAGTAGCAAATCCCAACGAACAAAATATCAATTAGCGAATTCCAATCAATTATACTCATTACTAATTTATTGGTTAAAATTGAAAAAATTAGATTTTAGAATTGCGAATTCCTGCAAAGCAGCCATTTTGAATTTTCTGAGATACAAATCTGAAAAATAATACCATAATTGTGATCTACTCAAAAATTCCTTCAATTTGAGTATAATATAGCCATACTTTGAAGGGATCGAAAAAATTATTGCGAAATCGTACATTAGATGGCCATTTTGAATTTTACGAGGCTCGAATCAGAAAAAAAGATACAATATTTGCAATCTACTCTTAATTGCCTTTCATTTGAGTATAATAAAGCTATACTTTAGAAAGATCTAAAAATTAGCGAAAATTTCTGTTTTCCTGTCCCCCCATACACGGCCCCTGAGGGTCAGGATGAAAAACTCGGAATATATGTGAAATAGATAAATGTTGTGAATATACTACCAAAATTATAACAATAATATTAATTACTTTGGTTCAGAATGAAAAATTTATGATTTTTGCGAAAAAGTCCCGTCATTTTTAAAGCGGCGGCCATCTTGAAAAAAATTTTTATTGCGTAAAACTATTCACCAATATACATCTTTCCACTAAATATGAAGAAAATCCGTCCACTAGTATTTGAGTTACCTTCCGGACAGACGGACGGACGGACTGACTGACTGACTGACTGACTGACTGATGGACTGACGGACGGACAAACGGACGGACGGAGGGCTTCACTATATCCCTACCGAACTTCGTTCGTTGGGATAACTAAGGAATCTACCTGAAATTATGGAATATTAACGTCAATTTTTTTTATCAAAGGTCAAGAACTAGGTCAAATATTTTGTTTTCACTATTTTTCCAGTTCTCCGGACCATAGTCCTTTAATATTTAGGCGTTCTTTTTTCATCGTGTTCCTTGTGAACAAAGTAAATTCCTAAAGGCAAAACTTTTTTCTATTATTCCCTTTTCAAGATATTAGTGTCCAAAAAATACTTAAAAGTAATTAAAAACGTGTTTGATATAAATAAGATTAATGACATAACCAAAAAACCAACCGATCGACAATCTACCTACTTACTCAGCCACCAACTCAGCTTCCTACTCAGGTACTTAGCTACAGGGTGGTAAAAATGGAAACCCTTACACAATTTTCCTCATATCTTTCTCATTTTAAGAAAAAACTCCCTGATATTTTACACATTTGTACATCATTTAATTTCGGGAAACCTGCATTCGTCGTCCAAATTGCCCCTACATGCGGGGATATGGCAGAGAAAGAGTGTATGGTAACGACCTCAGGACAATTGGAATCCTCAAAAGTGAGATAATCCGTGTCATTCAGGCCATACCTGCTGAGGAATGCATTTAGGTCATAAACAGCTGTGCAGATGCGCAGCCTACAGCGCGATGATGGCCAAACCTTAAGCATGTTATTCAAAGTGCTGTAACCTTTTGACTATTAATCTGATGGTCATGAAATATGGTAGGGTGGTAGGATATTAAATGATGTACACATATGTGAAATATCAGGGAGTAATAATTTAAAATGACAAAGATATAAGAAAAATGCAGGGTTCCCATTTTTGACCACCCTGTGCTTACTCAGTTATCTAGGTCAAATTAATCCGGAGTCTTAAATCAATTTACCATTCTACTGAGTTCCTCTCGGCAAGATAGAACAGCTTAATTTAAGCTGCTTATGTGCTTGGTTTACTAATTGTTCTGGCTTTGGTCAACTTTTTATCTAGGTCAAAGGTCAAGTACTAGGTCAAATCTTCACTTCTTAAATGAGAGCTTCGTCTTCGTAGTTTTTAACTAGACTCTGCGCGCAGGATAACATTTATCGCTATTTCTTCATCTTTGTTTTCAGCCATTTCGAGAGAGTACGATCGGTTTTAGAAAGTAGGTCAACACAAAATAAGTTTCCAAATTCCACGCTTGAGGTATCAAAATTGTTGGAAATTTTCTCCGAATCTCAAATGTAAAATCGCTTTTAAATTACGAAAGGTCAATATGATGAAATCCCTATGTTTAGTCATAGGCACGTGGTCAGAGGTTAAGTCATTTATTCACTCAGCTACACCTACTCAGCTACTTACTCAGCTATCTACTCAGCTCCTTACTCATCTACCTATTCAGTTACTACCTTAACTTCAGTCTGGACTCTGTTCAATTAGATATTCTTATCTATAAATCTTACCATCGACGGCGCTAACCTCGCCGTTGGGGGCATCTAAATTGCAGAAATATGCTACATTTTGATCCCCTTCGGAATTGTTAGGAACAGCCTCGATCTCTGTATAAGTACAATGGCATCCCTCTTGCCAAAATGCTCCACCTGCAGTTTGCATCTTTCCTACTTCATACCATCTACCTTGGTACATGGATGGCCTGAAATTGCTTGCAGGAGCAGAGAATCTGCATGTTGGATTGGTTTGGGATTGTGCGATGGCTATTGCCAGAGTGAATACCTTAATGATGAGAAAGATATGTTAACAAAGCCTTTAAAGTCCCCGTGTAAAGTTTGGAAAAATGTTTTTATCATTCATTTACTATTTGTCTTACCTTTAAAAGAGATTTTTGAAAATAGTTGTCAGCTTTTCATTTCTCAAATAGTCAAATTTCCCGCCATTTTTCAAAAAAGAGTTGAAATTTTTTAATCATCAAATATCCATACATTTCAAAAAGGATTATCTTTTTAACACCAATGCAGAGCTTGATAAAATGACACGCGATTTCAATAATAAAATGCCATCTTTAATGTGCCACTTCAATGTTTTAGCATATCAAAAATATTTTACAACCTTAGTGATGTCATTATATGACTCACTCAGGCGTCAAAAACTTTTTGAAAAGATTGAAAAAAATTCTATGTCAATGTTTTCTAAATATGCTAAAAGGATTCTGAAAATCGCTTATTTATGAACCGATTTTCTTAATTTTTTGGGCAAAAACATATGAGGAGGATGAATGTTATACATTGGTATGAATTATCGCTTATTAAAAGACACGTGTGACCTCTAAAAGTTCTTCAAAAACCACTACAGGGGCTTTACATTTATATCTTTTTGTTGCAAATGAGAAAATGAAGATTTTCACCAAAATATATGAATTGTCTAACAAAAATAAGGGTTAATGTATACAAAAAATCAAAACTTTTCAGTCGTAATCAAAAGGAGGATACACGGTGTACCAAAAAAAGTCACCCTCCTAACAATGAATATCTCGTTATGAGGAGGATGAATGTTATAGATTGGTATGAATTATCGCTTATTAAAAGACACGTGTGACCTCTAAAAGTTCTTCAAAAACCACTACAGGGGCTTTACATTTATATCTTTTTGTTGCAAATGAGAAAATGAAGATTTTCACCAAAATATATGAATTGTCTAACAAAAATAAGGGTTAATGTATACAAAAAATCAAAACCTTTCAGTCGTAATCAAAAGGAGGATACACGGTGTACCAAAAAAAGTCACCCTCCTAACAATGAATATCTCGTTACTAAAGTAGTCAAATTTTCACCACCACAGCAAGTGTATGGCCCTTTTGCTGAGAAAGAGACCGAGGCATGCGAAGCGAATCCTGGAAACCCGGTGTAAAAGGGTAAAATATAAAAATTCGTTTAATTAAAAGTCTATACCTGTTATTCTCTATCTTACAAGACGTTAAACATATTGAAAATAGTTATGTATTTTGATTGGTCTAAAATGTGCAAAGCTAGACCCCTTATACTCGCTATAATCTTTACTTTGACTAAGCTCGTATTCGCGAATGCAACGAACGCCTGTCGGCTACCGGATCCAGCATCACCTAGGGTAGCTTCATTATCATTTTGAGGATCAACTCAACAGTCATAGAGCAGATAATAACTGGACACCCCTCCCCAGACCTGAGCCCTCCAGAATTTTATCTGTAGGGGTCCTTCAAGGATATTGTGTACGAAGCAACCCTCAAAACACTGCAGAGCTGGAACGCAATGCCCATTTTTGAGCACATTATTTGAATGGCCAGCAAATGGGCCATATAGTGGCGAAACTTATGGTGATAACCAGAAGAACAATGAACTAACCTTAATTGTGCAAAATTTCTATAATCAAACTTAAAAAGATATTCATTGTTAGGATGGTCAAATTGTTTAGTACACCCTGTACAAAAGGCATGCAACGTTAGATAAAAAAAAACAGCCATCTGTAATATAAGTCATATATACTTCTTTATGATGATTCAGAATAAATTAAGCAAAAATCTAGAACCCTATAACAACGGATAATGAATAAAGCAAGGTGAAACAAAGTTTTGGAAATATGTTTATCCTCACAATCCTTGAAACCCAATTCAAAGGATCAGTCAGATCCCAATTTTACTGATTATTTCAGAATACTATAATATTAGGCTACTTACCAATGCTCCAAACATGACGCTGGTGATCAATTGACTAAATGTTAGATATATTCACCTTTTTCAAGTTCGCTTGCAGGTACAACAATGAGAAAAAACAGCCTGATAATTTTGATATTTACGATTTCTTATCTTTTAATTATTCGATATATAAGCTTGTTCATTTGGTTATAAAACTCAAATGGTAACGTCAGACGTTGATAAAAGCGTACACACTTTTAAAGGCCCGAAATAAAGATTAAACCACTTTGGCTTATATTCTAGTATTTCTCAATGTGATCAAAATGTGATTTGTTCAATTTCAAAAAGTGGTTTTTGAAATTTTTCTAATCGACATATTTTTAGAATTAAATTTTAGAGCTCATACACATCTCTTATTTCGCAATAATTCATACCAATACATGGCACTCATTGTCACGTTTCATAAAATGCATGAAAGTGGTTCACAGAAAATGCATTTTAAAATAGAAACCAATGGTATAGTAATATTTAAAACATAATATGTTCTACTTTTAAACCTAGTTGGACAAGTTAACCTATTTAGAAAAGATTGACTTTTTCCAAAAATGCACGTTGCACCAAAATTTTCCTATCTAATGCAAGGCTTTATTTTACCAGAGAATAATGGGTTCGCTCGAACCCATCGAACCCCCCCCCCCCCCCCCCCCTCTGGCTACGGGCCTGTATAAGGAATAGTTGAAGTAGGATCCCAGAAAAAAAGTTTTGAGAATAGTAATCCGTTATTGTATAACACGTTCACATGCACGTTTTCTCAAAAATATTTAGCTTTACATCCTTATTAATCGGAGGCGAACTCCAATGCACGAATCGAAGGATTATCCTAAAACAAAGTCAGAACCGCCTGATTTTTAAATAGGCAAGACATGGAATGATGAAAGCAAAATTGACAAATACTGTGAAATTGTGATCATTTAATCTCAACTCAACTCTCCTCATTCCTTTAAAGTTTACTACATGCGCTAGTAGGTTGAGGGCATTCAAAGTAGAGACCACACTTTTAATTATAGGTGTAAGGCTGGTATAAAGATGGCACTGAGGATCCTTCAGAATGATATATAACGCCCATGTCTACCATCTTTGTTTAAAACTAGCTCTATCGCCCTTTTGGTTATGCTATTAATCATATTTCATCTACTTTAAGCATGGGGACTTTATCGGATTTATGGGGATGTACATAGGGACAACTTAAACAAACGATACACTGTGCATAGGAATACAAAACTATATAATAATGAAAGGGCATTTATATGACAAATGTCACCCATCACCACCGATTGTAGAATATTGCACAGATATCAGCTTTGGTTAATTTCAAAAACGCAGATGCGAGTAGGTAGTTACCAGATTTACCACCAGGTGGCTCGTTCGGATCAGATAGCATGGCGGGTATAGTAGAAAGTTCCCTTTAACTTAAATTTCATCTATTTGCGTGGTTCAATTTTCATATAACCCTTATGTATCTGATAGTTAAGCAAATTAAAATATGTCCAGTAAAAGAAAATGTTATCTGTCCAATACAAGAAAAGATAATTCACTTTTTGTGATTTTGTAACATGGGGTCTATGGGGAATCAACCCGAACAAGAAGTCACATTTTCAAAAAATAAAGTTGATAGACAATTTTAAAAACCATATTTCTAGTTGTACTTTTACATGAAGATTTCAAATATGAGATCACTTTGACTGAATTTTGAATATTTAATGACGTAAATCAGGATTATTTTTTCTCGCATCTAGTCTATTACTCAGATGCGAGTAGGTAGTTACCAGTTTTGCAACCAGGTGGCTGATTCGGGGGAAATAACATGGCAGGGTATTACAAAATTCCTTTACACTTGAATATTCATCAGTTTTAGTGGTTCACTTTTCATATGACCCTTATTATGTTTCAAAGAAAAATAAATTTTCATAGTTGATAAACTCTTTGCAAAACCACATTTCTAAATGTAATTTTACATGTATTTTCCAAATAACAGTTTGACTGAATTGTGAATTTTTAATGACGTAAATCAAGATTACTTCTACTCGCATCATATTGAGTGGAAATTAGTTTTGGAGGGATTGTAACTTCATATATGATAGAATATCAAAGTCTTTGGTCACGTGAAAAAGTGAAAGTTCTCTTAGACCGGTCAAATTTGCTCTACGGCGGCCGTAGCTTCACAAAATCGATATAGAAAAGTTACATCCTACTGCTTATCCCTATATTTTATGCTGCATAGTTCTCTCGATTTTGAAAAGCTACGACCGCCGTACGTTTACCGTAGACCAAATGTGACGGAGACTGAGTGCCGATTGAGTCTCTTAATCACAAAACAGTCGAGTATCAAATAGCGAGTCCTCCTATTAAAATGACGAGTCTTCCCATTAAAATGACGAGTCCTCCCATTAAAATGACGAGTCCTCCCATTGATATGAAAATTATTCCAATTCATGATCCGATGACCTGCCAAAGAGGAGATCACCAACAAGTTATCAATTGCGATCAAGATCATACAATAACCAAGTTACGTGACTGATTATTCCAACGATGTAATGACATGTTAAAGTACAAGTAGAGAGGCACTTGACTGAACAATCAAAAAACGAAATGAAAGAATATCGTGTGTCGACAATAAAGGGCAATTACAGCCAGGTGTGTGTCAAGCGTAAATATTTAATCGAATCCGATTATGAAGTGAGCAATTTCATATGTTACGTTCGACATATGTAAGCATCAGGCATGTAATGAACTATATACATATACATTTTAATTTGCATTACTGTAACTATTAGATACATAAGGGTGATATGGAAATTGAACCACTAAAACATATGTAATTTAGGCTAAAGGGAACTTTTTACCATACCCGCCATGCTATCTGACTTGAACGAGCCCAGCCACGAGGTGGTGAACCAGTATTCGCATCTGCGTCATTGATAAAACTAATTAAAGGTGCAACAATAAGTACAGATAGGGACCATTCAACGATCATGGACCAGTGTCAAAAAGAATATGTTAAGCCAAGAGTTGCCTTGATAGCTCAGAAAAAGTTAAACTTTTCATATTTTCTCTCTACAGGCTTTGTTGCCCCTTTAATACGATTATTGTATAAGATTCCTTATGTTCGACTGATAACGAACTACCTTTTCTGGATCTAACTATTAACGAGCTATAATATATTCACCTAGATTTGTACTGATATTTGAGTGAGGGTGAACATAAATAAATATGTATCAATTAAGTAATTAATTATGGTTTGTTAATGCATAAAATAAAATGCGTGGTCAGTTAATCCAAGCAGAATGATAAGGTACACATGGAATCAATCTAACCATTTAATGACTTATTCAAGCAAACAAACAAACAAGCAAACAATTAATCGATCAATCAACAAATCAATATGGCCAAGGAAGGAAAAGGCAATATCCACCATCAGCCATTAAACTATGGAAACAAAAATGTACACTGCCTGTCACTTAGGTCGTTTCGCTCGGCTGAATTTATACTCCAATGAAGGGTAGCGAAATTATAGTAATATATCTACAATTAAAGTAAAAATCGTTCGGAAATTTGGTGCAACATGATCTCATCATGACCTATAGCCCTACCTCCCGGTAGGCTAGCATTGATTAATGGGGTAGGACACTATGAAACACTCGTTGTTTACTAGCAGGTCTAAGGGCTAAAAATGTCTTCCTAAATTACGCCTACGATATTTTTTCTCATTACGCCTACCTGTTCCTCAGATGTGAATTAACATTTGGATTTTGTTTATTTAAGTTTTTGTCCAGACTTTACCTTCTTAAGGACACGTTTGTGAATGAATCAGGCGTAGATGTGTGGTAAATACCAGAATCTTAGGTTGGTAAATAACAACATAGAAAATCTGGTTTGTGTGTTTGATAAAGGACGTGATCGAACGGAATTTCTGTATTCTGGTCAGGCATTGACCTTATAAGGTCAACAGAGGTGCATCTGGGTATTATTCTCAATATTCTAAGATTTCACCTTATTTAGTTATTGAATTAATTTAGTTCAATCCCTGAAACGTTATGTCCAAGTTGCATGCTGAAAATATTGCCAGTGAAACATGGCTGCTTAGAAAAATCGTCAACAAGTCGTATTATATCGACATTCCACAGCCCCATTGCACCCCCCCACCCCCCCCCCCCCCACCCCCTGCGTCTTATCAATACCGCCGCTCCCTGGATTGCCAGATACGGCCCCTATTCTTCAAACCAAAATTTAATATCTCTCGTATCGTCTACATCAAACAGTCTACACAAAAAGGTGTGATTTATCTTATTGTACAACTTGATATAAAAAAATGTTTCTCCAGTCGCTCAATAAAGATGTTTACTAGGCTAGGTCACTATGACCTTAATTCATTCATTCTCCAACTGTTGTTACATCTACTTTGTCAGTCACATTTGTGTGTTAAGACAGTATGTAAACTCTGCACCGGAGGAGAAAGTCTTAGATATATGAATCCTTCAATGAATATGAACTTGGGAAGTCAAATATATTTTTCAATTGAGCTGTTATAATTGAGTACAGAGAGTGAATCAGATGTCCATATTAAGTGCCAAACAAAGATCCGATACATTTGCTTGTGGGAAACATTTTGGAAAGTCACGTATTTGACTGCAGAGGATTATAGTACACACCGGCAACTGACACCGGAGACTGTTTCACATCTTAGTACGTTTTAGAGGTAAGTCTAAAACTATTATGTTAATTAAGGAGTTGAAATCAGTAGAGATTCTTGCAAGGAGACACAGGTTCTATAGAAATGACAGGGTATATTACAGAGGTAAACCTGGAGCTCTTTCAATGAATTGCCCATGGGCAATAACATGAGAATTTCGTTGTTGTAGTACAATAAAACAAATATGTGTTCAGAATATACACAAATCCTATTATTTAATGGAAAGGTATTTTAAATCGTAATCATTTTCAGTTGTTTATAACACCCATGGGCGTATTACTGAAAGCTCCCAGTCTTGCGCCCATGAGCATTAGCATGAGTGAATCTCAAAATCACTGGAGGATCCCTCGAACTATATCTATCTAGTAAATAATATAGTTACGTAAGTTTACTAAATATAGTTTATGCCTAGTAAGTATTCCGCATCAGCCGTGTGTTAGCTTAGTACCTGCTGGAGACACCTGATGTACACGTGGGTTAAATATTCCAAAACTCATATTGTTGATTTGTGCCAGTTTGCCGATTTATTTTTGGTCGAGTTTTTTCTTTGCTTTTTGTGCCTGCCTTTATAGGCTTGGAGATTATAGAGAATATACCAGTTCAGTTGAACAGAAAACAAAACCATAGCACTTTATTATTTGCACAATGAAAATAACGTCCGGATAAACATTTTTTGGGATAAAATATTAGCGAGACTTTCAGATCACTTGTACCCTCAAATAGAAAATGTCTAAAGAAATCATTTCTACATTTTCTAAAACCACCTAGTATTCGTATTACTAGCTACACAAATGTAGACGTATCATATTTACAATAAGTAATAGATGTTTGTTTTGTATAAAAAATCGGCACAATTGAAGAATTGATTTGCACTTAAATATAAAAACACTTTCAACACGCCTAACCATCGACAAGGTACAGTCACGTGACAGTGACAAAATATGCCGTAGTACACTTTTGATGTACTATGTCATTTCCGCCATTTTATATCGCCATTTTCTAGAATGAGGAAGCAAGGTAAGAACTAGCATTGATTTGATCAATATTGTGTCAGTTCATCATCAGGCAGTTGTTGCATTCGATTTGTAATTAAGTTGCAAATATGCATATCTACTTCAAATGATCCTCAGCAACTTCAATATCTTGTTATAGATCTACCCAGTACGTCAGGGATCTCTAAATCTTGACTGAATTTCGCAAAATTCTCTCTAATTTTTGTTTTGCTATGCAAATAACAGCCAAACTACGACTAACACAACTTAAGATAAGTATACAAATATACATCCAGAGTTAATGCAAAACCGCTTTTTACTTTGGATGCTACTACGAAAAACAGATAATGTATGTTGTCAACTCGAATGTATGTTGTCACATTGGCCTTACAGATCTCAATTCACAGTTAATTTTACATGAATGAAATGCTATAATGTACGTGTAATAGAAGGAACATATTTGATAATAAAGAAATAATTTATAATAATAGGGCTGGCATATCGAAAAATTTACTCTAATATTTTGTCCGTTAATCAATAAAATTGTCATTGATATGATTAAATTTCAATGTTACTAATAATTTTTTAGTATTCCATAACCCTGGCTTTTGAACTTCTGCACTTTCCCCCCTAGGCAGACATATACCAATTTCTCCATAGTATGTGTCATATATCATATTTAAGCTTATCCAAAGTTACATTGATTTGCCAAATATAATGGTTCAAATGGTAAAAAGTAACAGGCATTTCAAAAATTAGCGTTTTGCCAAAAAGTTCATTTCAGTATCCTGGAAACAGCCCTGACCTGAATGTGACAGAAAATATGGATGCTATTCTCGAAGATAATATATGGATATCGAGTTCTAAAAAGATGACGTTTAGGGTAGATACTCCAAGGAAACTCTTCTTATGCCTTAAAAAGGTTTTATGAAGATTACAAAACGCCATATCCCTATTTGAAGCCAGTTTAAGATCATATATGGAAAGTATTGCTGCTGTTAACATGGCGGCTAAGGAGACACACCGACTATTGTTTTGGTGTAAGACTGACTTTAATTTTGTCCAAACACTAACTTTTGAAATTCCTGTAACTTTTTCCATTTGTGAGTTGAACCATGATACTCGGCAAATTAATGTAACTTTGGATGAGCTTTAAAATGATACATACATGGAGACATTGGTATATGTCTGCCTATGGGGGCCCATAATTTCGGGACACCCTGTAGCATAAAGTCATCTTGGATTAGCTAGTAAAGATCTCTCCATGAACTCCTTAAGATTATTAAAATTAATCACCATATTAATACTTTCATAAAATAAAATAGCATTCAACGAAAAAAATCACTTTTACCTGTTTATCTGTACTAGGGATACAGGAGCATGTTCGTTGAACATCACTTGTAACGCATAAAACCCTTAATGCATTTTGAAATTAAATCATTGCAATGTTTAATATTATAACTCATGTATTTCAATTACAGGGACAACATACACTGTGAGTTGACAACGTACATTTCTGATTTTTTAAATTATATCAAATGCATGAATGTTTATTGAATGTTCACCTGTCCTAAACTGTGTAGTTTAGAGAAACACATTCTCATAAAAATATTCGACACTCTGAGACGTCAGGGGAGAAAATTATCAAAGGAAATGTGTAAAAAACAACATTTTTCCAACCGAAGAATCGTATGGGGAGACTAACAACGAAAAAAATCGAGCACTGCTCGAAGATCTTTTAACGTTATTAGAAAAATAAATGTCTTTGAAATCGAATGCACGCGAAATCAAACATAAAATCCTTTGTGTTCTCCTAAAATTTATTTTTGAAAACCTGCATCGAACCTACATCATGGTCTTCGCTCAAAATCAGTTAATAGTGACATAGTACATCAAAAGTGTACTACGGCATATTTTGTCACCTGTCACGTGACTGTACCTTGTCGATGGTTAGGCGTGTTCAAAGTCGACTTCCTCCCGGCGAATATCATAGAAAAATTGCAGGATCAGAAAAGTAAGCTAATCATTTAATTGTGATAAGTCTATCTAATATTTTTTTATTTAGTATTCAATGTTAATTGAAAACCGCAAAAAAAGAAGTTCAGTATATTTTAACGTGTTAATATTTGCAGTTCGGTCGTCAACCTTGAGCACATTCCAATGTTGTGATTTGTTTTTAGATTTTGGAATCGCACAATTTATATTATACATATCATACATATGTCTACATAGCATATTTAAGCAATAGTAGAAATTGCACTTTGTGGCAAATCGTTCTTATATTGTAACCAATAATCTTGGTTCATTTCGATCGAAAGATAATGAAGAGCAATATAGTAAGTTTCTATAGTTTCTAGAGTGACATCATTCAAATTCAATGTGTCAATCGTGGTATGTTTGATATTTCAATGGTTGCCAAGACGTCGGTATTGTTGACAGTAGTACAGCCCCAAAATGGGCAACTAACCGTGTCATCCCTATCAAGACTACGTACCTAAATACCAAGGCCAACAATCATTAACTACATGATAATCATATTATAACATACTTATAAAATGAAACATATGGATTATGACAACATATACTTTTCTACTTTTACTTTGGATGCATCCCAACATAGAAATAAGAATGGGGGAGGTAAAATTTTTATCATGAAAAAATATCCGCAGAAAAAATATATTTTGGCCTCGACATTTTTTGTGAGGAGGCTTTTTTGATGGGGGGTGTTTGTGCCACGCAGATGTCAATCATTGTCCTAAGACGCTACTGTTTTAACGGAGCCCCTCTTTACCCAATGTTTATTATAATACTTAATAACAATTAATAGTTATAGCATCTTTTATCCATTCTGATAACTCATAGCATCTTTCTGTTTCACCTGAAACATCTCAGGGCTGAGAAGAAATGAGACCCAGGAAATGAGATGTCATGGTTTATCATGATGTATTTCATCTATTCATTCATTTATGTGGTTTGTGTGTTAACTAAATAAAGTAGTAGTACAGTAAGGTGTTAATTAGTAATCATACTAGGGTTGCCATAGTACCATAACATAACTTAATTTAGTTAATGTGAGTTGAGTTTTGTTTTAAAGCTTCAAATTATGATAAATTAATTCAAAATGGCCTAGGGTTGTAGAAAATATCATTTACTCGTAATATTTTTTAATTCTCAGCTATACTTTATTGTGTTAAACCTTTTTATTAAAAGGCTCCTGGCTAGGCTACTATAATGTATATTTGTTTTATTTTCTAGACAGTCAACGAGACCGAAATAACTTGATATTAATATCTCAGCCACCGAATACCATCTCACGCAAAGACCAGTGAATTAATATGATAAATAAGAACACGGTATAAAAACACCAATACAAAAATACCGAGTGCATAATACTGTATGACTGACTGTACAATCGCGCAGTAGCACATGTGAATAATTTATATTTCCCAACTGAGGAAATAACTTGCTTTCCTATTTTTGTAAATGTCGTGTGTTTACAGGAGCTAGAAAACCAGAAAAGTCGGATTTGAGGACAGATGAATGATTGCTCGTGGTTTGACCTGACTAACATGGGAAAACATTAGGAACAAACACATATTTAAACGATAAGACGATCAGGAGAAAATTGATTTAGGAGGTTAAGAGTATTTAACTACTGGATGTTATATCTCCCTATTATTAACATCGGAACATCGACTGATATTAAAACAACAAACCTATTTTCGATGTGTTACAACTGGAAGTATTTTGGATAACAAGGTCGGAATAACACTTATTTAAAACTGGAATATTAGCCGTGTATCACGTGACAGGTGATATACTAAAATATCACCCGATTAAGATGGCATCCAAGAAACCAGTGGATGTATGCTGTGAATGGATAGCGGATCAAAAGGTATGTAAAGTACATGTATATTAATATATCGACCGACATAATAGATAAATAAGCAACATATGGTATAGGTTGGCAATGACAAGTTCAATTAAATTCAAGTGCGCCCACGCCACCTTGATAGTTTAATATTTGCTACGTTTAAACTAATTTCATTTTCAAACAATTATGTCAATGCCAAAATTGAATTTATGTTATCTCATGTGTCCAGCCATTGAGTTTCTAAATAGACAATGACTTATTGTATTTTGATCTTGAAATGTGCATTGGTAGTCTGGAAATAGAATAATTTAAGGTGGGACGTGTAGAGTTAGTATTCTGGTAGACTAGTAAATTGATATTCTGCATGAAGGCACGCATGTTCAAAATTCAACTCGTCCTACATCATGAGAAACCATGACATCTCATTTCTTCTCAGCCCTGATATGTTTCAGGTGAAGCAGAAAGATGTTATGAGTATCCGAATGCTTGTCCTACCTTAATTTGACAATTACTTAAGTACACTAAAGGGTCTTTAAGGTAGACCACGTGTGGCTATTTACAAATGGCCTTAAGTATTGAAATCCAGTTAGCAAGCCTACATGTAAAAGCTCCAAAATAATTATCTATATCAATTTTAACTCAGAATCTATACAGAACAATAAATGTGTCCATGCTATTAAAATTTGTCATATTTTATTTCAGAAAAGCATCCATCAATCTGATTATGGCTCAAACAGCACAGGAGTCAAGGACGCTATAGTAAAACAAGAACACACGGATAGTAATGTGAAAAAATATAAGAGTGAAATCAACAAAGCTATCCTAACGGTATGTGTAGGTTGCCATGATTAAAGCGTAATCGTGTAGCAGGTGTGAAGTACAGAGTGACCCAAAAAATGCTAACCTCTAATGTGTTAATAGCTTCTCAATTATGGTGGAATTTCAATGATAAATGTTGTGTTGATTGGATGCTTCATTTTGAAAGAATTTGGGAATATTGCATCATGATTGGAAACGCTATTCAAAACTTAGGGCTGCATTTTTAGGGCCAGTCTGTAGCATTATTTAGTATAACATAAATACACTCTTACCTACCACGTGACCACGTTTAAAGAGGATACAGGATACAGTGAAGTTGCAAATGGAACGGGTATATCCTATCTTTTTGGTAAGGATACAAGTGCAAACTGGTCGATGAATCTATACAATGTATAATAGAACACTTGGAATATATGTAATATCTAGTATACCTTAAAAAGTATGCAAATAAACAAACGTCCTCCATTTGCAACTTCACTGTCACCTGTATCCCTTTTAAGAAATACAGGCTACAGTATGGCGGTAGGGTAGTGTGGAATACCAGCTTAAAAGCATGATGAATCAACGACAAACTTGAATAATTAATGTCATATACAGCCCCCAAAATATAACCAATTAGAAAATGGTGAAATATTGTTATAACCACGTGCACACACCTTTGTGAGCCGCGTTCGAGTTCGGCGTCAGCGGTCGACGTTCATAGCATATTGTTGTACCTTTTTAACCATTTGCAATAATTTACGGGAGGTGAAATTTTGTTATGTTCATGCCTTGTTTGTTTTTCAGGAAGATATCAAAGCTGATAGCAATAATCTCGAGACTATGTACGAAATTCTCACGGTAGGTAAACAGACGAAACATTGTCCTTTTTATTTCTTAATTGCTTTTAAAAGTTGTTGTTGTACCGATACCTGTGCTAAACAAAACGTGTCGTTTCAAAGATTCTAATGAGTTTCATTTTAACTAATATAAGTCAATTCAATTTGTGCGTCTAACATGGAAGATAGGTGTCAAACATTTAACTTTTTGAAGTTAAGTTTGAACATGATTGATTGAAAAACACTGACGTTCGTCACGATCGTGCGTCAACCAAATTTCACACATTGATATGACTTTCTTAATTCGCAAAAATCTATGAATATCAATGAGAAACATCAAAAAATTATGAAGAAGCGAACAATGATGCCTTAAGGTGAACATCTGATTGAAACACTTTATATTCATGTATTCAGCAGACCCGAAAATTAAACCTAAGTTCTGAGGGCCCTTGTGTGTTTCAAAATGCAAAAAAATGTTCCAATATGTTAAACGTCTGTTAAGCCATTAATTTTCATGTTTAGTGGCTAAAATATGGACAGTCACATATGTTTAAATCGTAGTTGAGTTTGCATAAATATTTTGTTTGATATAGACTTTACTAAACTAATCTCTTTACTTGATCAAACCGAGCAGTGTTTTTTATATTTAGATGACATATTTATTTTGGCTTATTTTAAGGTTGGTATTTTGTACATTTTTTTAATATTAAGGCTGCATTTTTTGTAGTTTGATTCATGTGTTACATATTTTCGAATGGTATGTTCCCACGTAAGTTATTCTTCAAGGAGTTGGGAGTCCTATACAGGCTTACCCTTTTTAATAATTTTATTTTATTTCCTTAAAAGAGAGCTTTATGTATTTTGTTCAATGTACGAGGCTCTGGCCCTCTAGGTAAGCACAACCAGGTTGATGTTTTTCAATGCACCGATCCGCCACAACCGAATATGTCTATATTAATTTATGAACAATTTCAGAATATCTCCAGCAAGAAACTTGACTGTCTTACGGTTCTACAAGAAGTCAGTGGACTTGAAGAATTATGTGGAGTAAGTAGAAATTCCTCTTTCCGATAATTAATTTTGCTTCTTTAAAAGAGAATTTCATCTATTTGATTTGCTAGGCTCTGGCGTACTCTGCTGGGTAATATAAAACAGATCTGAACAACCCTATCCCTTATCCAGTTCATTTCCAAAGAAAATATATACCACATGTAAAAAACAGTTTATTAGATCCACCAACTCCCTGGGAACAACCCTTTGTCACGAATTGTTCAGCCACGCCCAACCTAGCTAGTTAACGATAGTTTATCTTATGTATAAATACTAAAAAGACTAGTTCTGTGCATTCTTCAAAAGAAAACGATGGTGTTTTCACTAAGGCACCTCGCATATATCAATCTGAAAGGTGATGCCCACGAGAGACCATCATCATAAGAAAAGAGAATGATAATAGTAACCCGTTGATATTCATAAACACGAGTGTCATAATATGTCATTACAGAGGCCTGTCAAAAATGATATTGTGACACCTGTTTTCTAAAGATAGAGTCTAATTAACAAATCTTAATTCATTCTCAATTAACATCGTCGCGTAATTAAGCTTATTTCAATACACATGGTATTAACTGTATATAAGCAACCCCCCTCCCTCTCCCATTAAGGGAATGTCAGCATACATTCCCTCTGTTTCCTCCTCCTCACATATTTAAAAAATGAAAACCCAGAATGCAAACACCTGCGAGTCCGAACACTTTTGGCTGGTCTTAGAGGCGTTCAGTTTGGACAGGTTTTACTGTACGTGCGTTTGGATATTGTCGGGTTTTATCGGCACCCATTTTCTAAGGATGATATCTCATGGGCAAACCTTTCAGAATAATGTATAACCAAGGCATATTTATGAATACAGTATACCATTTTCATTTCTTTCTAACTCTATGGGAAATAGCGATCTGGGCCCGTTTCACAAATATCCCACATTTTCAATTTCCATATATTAGACATTATATCCCGAATGTATAATTTTAACTAATTCATTTCAGTCCAGTTTCGGCGGCAAAGGTCCTATAACCTTAAATCAGAAGTCAAAATGTGTATGTTTATTTCGGCATGTGTTCTATTGACGTTTGCTTGTGAATATACCTCTAAATGTGGCCTAGATGTAATGTATTGCATAGGCCTAAAGCTATATTGTCATATACAACATATCATTTTTTGCAACGATTATGTTATTATATGTGTCAGTTGATATACTAGTAATATGTAGTTATGCCCCGTGCTTATAGTACGGGTATGTGTGTATGCTAAATAGACCTTTCTAATAAATCCTTTTAAATAGAATATTAAACAGAGAACAACAAAAAATAGTGAAAAACTAGGGGATAAACCTTTGGATACATGATATAACGTCATGGCACCGATGTTTTCGTTCTTCCTATTTCTACCCCGATACTGTAACAATGACATCATAGATAAGTGGCATAATTTTCTAGATTGGTATAGAAATATTTACATAAGTAATTGCCCTTTTGTAGATTCGAGGTTCGACCTTTGGTCACTAGGTTGCGAGTTCAAACAGAAAAAAAATAAAGCTGACATTCTAAACTCAACCATTGTCAATGTTTGTTGCCTAAAAAACAATACCCAAGTTTAAAAATGAATGTCATATGATATAGATTTAAACATGCCATGTATTGTATATCATTTCAAAGATAATCATCATTCATCTTTGTTAAACGTGGGTTGTTTTTTGGCCCACCCTGTAGTATTTTTCTTATTATTTAACATATTCATAAATATAAGAAAGTACTATTATATCTAAGAAATATAGACCTATGCAACGACATATCCCTCCCACTTTCCTCGTGCCCACTTGGTGACTGAACTGAATTTCAAATAGGGTCAAACTATTTAGCTGAATCTTGAAAACCTTAATCAACTCATGTTTTATTTCGATGACAATGCACTATTGCATTTACAATGAACTATTACATTTACAATGAACTATTACATTTACAATGAACTATCACATTTACAATGAATTATTACATTAACAATGAACTATTACATTTACAATGCATTATTACATTTACAATGAACTATTACATTTACAATGGACTATTACATTTACAATGAATTATTACATTAACAATGAACTATTACATTTACAATGAGCTATTACATTTATAATGCACAATTACATTTACAATGAACTATTACATTTACAATGCACTGTTTTGTTTAGAACCTAGGTAACCAAATAGACACAAAGTCCGTGGAGCTAGCCTCAAAGTACCAAAAGTCCGACCAGTTAGTGACTGAGAAAGATGAAGAGAAGAGGACAAAAACTTCTGGCAAAGATCTGTCAATGGCTGCCCAGGTAGAAAACAAACCTAGAATAATGATTTTGAATGAATGTTCCAGTACAAGAAAACAGGCAATAGTGCCTTGTATGACGCATCCATACCTTCCTTAAAATACAAATTGATTTAATAGATGATAATCCTAATGACCCTTTATATTTCGGTAATTGAAAATGTGTTTTTATATTAATCAAAACGATAAATAAATGACATAGGTAAAGGATTAAATACCTACTTGCAGGGTTGCATCTATGCCCTCAAAGAGAACTGGATCTGGATGACGAAGCTGATGGGATGTCTTGACGTACATGTGAAGAATGCTGCTGAATACCATCAGGTAAATATATTACCTTGAATCGCAATCAATTGACGTTAGACTATTAAACACGATTTACAGTAAATGCACTACTTCGAATCACAATCAACTAGCATTGGACTATTATACACGTTGTACAGTAAACATACCAATCAATTTATTTCAAAAGAAAAATACAATAAAGTTCTACCAGTGCTGCCATCTTTATATCGGTATAAAACCTATGATTATGACGCATATGTTTTTACTGTGTGTTGCCTTGTAGTTCTTTCATGATGCCGACGAGTACGAAACTTGGTTATATGGTGTATACGAGGACATTAGTGGGGGAATGGAACACGAGAAGTTCAAGGGGACTTACCAAGAGGCACAACAGCTGCTCATTGAAATACAGGTACAGTTGTAGGTTCAATTAGGTGCTTGGGGTAGCATTTGCGAATTCAACTGACGGCGGACGGTTTAATCTACTTTTTATGGCCAACTCATTGGAATACGAATGGAATATAATAGTGACTGGTACTATTCATATTTAAATGAGTTGGCCATAAAAAAGTAGGTTTATAAGACTAGTGTTGCTCATATTTTACTCGGATAATCACTTTATCAACATTTGTAAGAAATATATACATGTTATTTGGTTGAAATTACTTACTGAAATACTGGGAAAGCTCGTTGTGGTTGTTTATTTTAGAACATTCTGACCAGCTACCGACAGTCTTACCACAGAAATATATTCCATGTTTTTGTTTATTTTAAAACATTCTGACCAGCTACCGACAGTTGCACCACAGAAATGATTACACATTTGTTTATTTTAGAACATTCTGAACAGCTACAGACAGTTGCACCACAGAAATGATTACATATTTGTTTATTTTAGAACATTCTGAACAGCTACCAACAGTGGCACCACAGATATGATTACATATTTGTTTATTTTAGAATATTCTGACCAGCTACAGACAGTTGCACCACAGGAATGATTACATATTTGTTTATTTTAGAATATTCTGACCAGCTACATACAGTTGCACCACAGGAATGATTACATATTTGTTTATTTTAGAACATTCTGACCAGCTACCGACAGTTGCACCACAGAAATGATTACATATTTGTTTGTTTTTTAAAACATTCTGATTAGCTACCGACAGTTGCACCACAGAAATGATTACATTTTTTTGTTTATTTTAGAACATTCTGACCAGCTACCGACAGTTGCACCACAGAAATGATTACATATTTGTTTATTTTAAAACATTCTGATTAGCTACCGACAGTTGCACCACAGAAATGATTACATATTTTTGTTTATTTTAGAACATTCTGACCAGCTACCGACAGTGGCACCACAGAAATTATTACATATTTGTTTAATTTAAAACTTTCTGACCAGCTACCGACAGTGGCACCACATAAATGATTACATATTTGTTTATTTTAGAACATTCTGACCAGCTACCGACAGTGGTACCACAGAAATGATTACATATTTGTTTATTTTAGAACATTCTGACCAGCTACCGACAGTGGTACCACAGAAATTATTACATATGTGTTTATTTTAGAACATTCTGAACAGCTACCAACAGTGGCACCACAAAAATGATTACATATTTGTTTATTTTAGAACATTCTGCCCAGCTACCGACAGTGGCACCACAGAAATGATTACATATTTGTTTATTTTAGAACATTCTGACCTTCTGACCAGCTACCAACAGTGGCACCACAGAAATGATTACATATTTGTTTATTTTAGAACATTCTGACCAGCTACCGACAGTGGTACCACAGAAATTATTACACATTTGTTTAATTTAGAACATTCTGACCAGCTACCGACAGTGGCACCACAGAAGTGATCACATGTTTGAAAGAGCCAGGCAGGTTGTCCCAGTTGACAAGAGGACCACTCACATAGAAGCTCCTGAACCTATACGAGCATTGTGCCATTATAAAACATCTGAGGTAAGTTTATTGTACCTTTACAAGACATCTTATATATTTAATTCAAAGTTTATTGATTCATTCTAGTAATTAAAATCAGAGAAAGTGGGAAAATAAGAAAAAGTTAAAAACGCAGGTATAAACTAAAAAAGGAACATTCAAGAAACAAAACCCAATATGAGCCATTATGAGTATAAATAATGAGAAAGCACAAAGAGGGTAATAATGGAGAAAAGATAACCATGAGAGCGCCTAGAAAGGATATTTCGTTTTGTAGATTAGTATCAGAGAGGGAGAGGAGCTACTTTTGATTGACAACAAAGATTCACAAAAATGGAGAGTAAAGAACTACTTAGATCGGGAGGCAGATGTCCCGGCATTAATCTGCCTCATCCCGCCTCCTGATGGAAAAGCTGTAGAGTTAGCTATAAGGTTTGTGTTGTATATTATTGATATATATTTTCCCTTTGAAGGTTTGGTAACTAGGAGTCCTTTCAGAATATGTGTTAGGGCTGCAAGAACTGTTTATATTTATTAGATTTTAACAACTTCATCATAGGCATAAATGTGTGACAATTTAACATATACTAGTACATGCTTGTACACGATATCCGAGGGTGACTTGCAGTTGCCAAATTTATTGAGAGGGTGTAGGTCAATGAAATAGTTGTCTGATTGGTTAGTGTAATGGTGTAATAGTGTAATGGTCTAGATTGCTTTATTATGCAGTTTTACGTTTGATGTATGTTATAGTCGTATTGTTTTAATTTTCAAATGTTACACCAAATTAGGTGTTGGTTGATATCTGCCTATATGCATGTCATCGTATCTGTTTTGTATTGTAATTAGGTTTTAATTAGTTGCCATTTAAGTACTGTATGCCACTACTTGTATAATACCAATATGTTGTGCGTCATATTTCATAGTTTTTTATGTTACTTCCAGAAATGGTGACATATTATATAGCCACTGTTTTTTACCTGTGTTCGGCGTTTGGTATCTGTAAAACAATGTTACACCTTTGAAATCGCAACTAGGTGGTGGCATGTTGTCATGGTAACGCCTTTTTTATTTATTATGTTGTGCTCAGGTTACGGCTACAACTCCTGGCCGCTTGGACGAACACCATCAAGAGGTTCGGCAAGAAGCTAATTAGGTTCATGTTAGTCGTCTTCAGGGATTGGTGTGATGCCGAGGTGTGTACTAGGGACCTCTTTTATATTATTTTCACAGCTTTTGAATTTAATACTAGACCCCTTAGTTCGTTCATAAAAAGTATATAGTATACTCTTGTATTAATTAGTTTAGAATATATTGCATTACAGTTAGTACAAATTAACAAACACCGTTGCTTATACTCATGGGATATTGATCACGAAACCAAAATCATAATTTTCCTAAAAAAACTTTTTGAATATATTTTGAACGTGTTTTACAGAATATTTTTGACGTTTTATATTAAAGCTGCTAAAAGTTCCGTAGTCTATTGTTTTCTCGGTTGAATATTGCCTCGTTTATTTCATTTTGTGTCACCTATTTCATTTTTGCCTCGTCTATTTCTTTTTGCCTCACCCACTATTTCATTTTTGCCTCGTCTATTTCTTATTGCTTCACCTATTTCATTTTTGCCTCGTCTATTTCATTTTGCCTCGTCTATTTCATTTTTGCCGCGTCTATTTCATTTTGCCTCGTCTATTTCATTTTTGCCTCGTCTATTTCATTTTTGCCTCGTCTATTTCATTTTGCCTCGTCTACTTCATCTTGCCTTGTCTATTTTGAATCCTTGTTCCTCAAATGTGGTGTTTTACCAACTTCTAGAATTCTGATGGGATCTGTCAACTGAAACATAGGCCTGATACGTCAAAAGCAATAATCACCTTATTCTTTCTGATAAATCTCATGAAAAACAATTCATTCGAATTTCAGAGCATTGTTAGTCAATCAAAATCTGTTTAATAATAGTACAAATAATCCGAAAGTATAAGCAACGACCATTTGCACTTGGAATTCGAAGGTAACCTACTTTGTACATAACCTTACAAATGACGCCAGTGTGTAAAATTTGAGGCGTTTAGAATGATGCATATTTTAGTTTTCGCCTTTTAAGATTTGAGCACATGCTATTTTCTATATATAGGGTCAAGCAATTAACGGGATGTCCTTAAAACAAAAGGTTTGGTATATAATGTTTAGAATTGCATTATAATACATGTACACTCCCCATCATTAGTATGGCAACCGGAAGTATCCTTTTGGATAACCGGAAGTCCCCGTTCGGATAACCGGAAGTCTCCTTTTGGATAACCGGAAGTCCCCGTTCGGATAACCGGAAGTCCCTTTGGATGACCGGAAGTCCCCGTTCGGATAACCGGAAGTCCCTTTTGGATGACCTAGTAAAGCCTGTTTATGCATTGCGATTTAAAAGAGCATCAAATTTCTCCGGTAATTGGGAATACAATTTAAGATCCAAACCTTTACAGGCTTTAATATGCTACCTAACGAGTACTACCGGTTGTCAAACTTATGTCGGGGAGTGTAATCTAACACAAATAGTTATCTGCTACTTAACAACCCCATAATAGTAGTAACCCATAGCTATAAATAAACACCTTTACTATTAAAATGAAACATCGAATACAAAAATGTTATCTAATTTATAATACGTTACATACAAAATCAAAACTGATCATACTTTAATGCATAAGTGTGTGTTCTACCTAATTTGTGTGTTGTACCAAAACTGTGTATTGTACCAAATTTATAAAAAGTGATCCCATTCAAGGATCAGTGTTAAATATAGGGATCACCCGTATTTGGATAATTATTTGTCCTAATGACGTTACCTAGTGTTAAGTGAACAATCATATGTGTTGGTTTGGGGATAATGAATTATCTATTAATGATGTATCCTTCAATGCATTTATCATCAGTCATTTGATTATTCAATGAAACAATCCTTTCAAATAAACCCTGCCATTTATTACGACACCAAAGAAACTGGCATATATTGTATAGGTTCTGGGCCGATATAAAGATGGCAGCACAAAAAGAAGTCCAGTATTATCTTTTAATTAATATTTCTATCGACCTTTGCCTATGGTATATTGCAAAGATCCCTGATGTTTCCAAGCAAAAATTGACTTTCTAATTTCTAAAAGGATTAATGTTATCCAAATCAGTTCATCAACAAAACATAATCAACACATATAACGTGAATTCGACCTTTTATTACAAATACTGCAATCTCCTAGCATTTCGTTCAGTGCAATCGCACCTATATCTAGTTCCTGAGGTACGCAAAGAATGAAACTGCTTTTGGAGATATGCAAATACTGGACTTGATATCAGAGCCTTCTAATTGAAAAACTTAGGTATTACACTGGACGAAATATGAACTTGTACCTTCTAATACATATTAGGGAGTTTAAGCTTGCAGTATTTTTCACAACCTAAACGTGAACGGAAAATATTTAAGCGATGCATTTGTATGGGCGATTGGTCATACGTATAGGCTAGCGTTTAGATTTTATATACAAGCTTAAACTCCTTATTATACACAAGATTCAACGTATGGTACCATCACATTGGCCAATATATCCAACATGTTGCTTCTTTGGTGTGGCAGTGGCAGAGTCTATTGTAAATATTTATAAAATTCAATTTTAATTAATTTAAATTAATATACATCTCCCTATACAATAAATAATTATCTAATTTTATATCCGCATGTTTAAGTTTTATCTAATTAATAGATATAATTAATTTGTTTCAATAACCTCATAATGATCTGCTATTGAATTTATTCTAATTTCTTGTTATGTCTATTTCTCTGAATACATCATTTACTAACCCAACTGTAAAGTATCCAAACACACTTCCATTGTTATATCACATAATTAGTAATATATATCATATCATTAATTTCATTGAAATTAACACACTTTTAAAATACATGTAAATTGTCAATTAATTAGCTCCTTGGTGTAAATATTTCTTGAAACATCATTTTTGAAATTGTTGAAATTCAAAATTCAATTAATTTCAGATTGAGGTACTCCAGTCCCTAGAAATCAAAGACCGTGAGGAGATCTATAGAATTCTAGCTTTAATCGAGGACACTCTAAGTGGTAACTGGTCAGACTATGCAGGATTCGTCCTCCTGCAAGAGAAGCTTCTTAGCTTGAAGCTCGTTTTGGAAGAAAGCGGAGACGAAGTGAACCAAGGTAACAAAAATAATCTCAAACTGATGGTGAACAGTTTTAATTTGTTTTCCTGAATATTCTTAAAGTATAATAGTACCCCTTTCTAAATAACTTAAAATTACAATACTAACAATTTTAAATATAAATTACTGAAGTTATTTATCAACCTTAGTGGCAATCACTTTCTAAATTGGTTCTAAATCTAAAGTCATAAATACAGCGTCACATGTCTCGAGAGTTGTAATAATTTAATTTGTTGTTGTATCAGATCCTTCTCTGGTGACGTCCCTAGTTGTACAAATCAAGATGCTGGAAAAACTGATGGAAAGATACAAGGTATAAATTATTTTGTCTCCTAATAGCATAGCAAAGATATTTACATAGGCTTATATGGAAAGCATACTGTTATACTGTCCTGCAAAAGATGTGAACGTAGGTTACAAAAACTATAACAAATAAATGAATAAATAATATATGAGTACCATATTGTACATAGGAATTATGGGGTGACTGGGAGAAGTACAAAGTGGTAGTGGAGACTTCTAAGCAGCCTGAACTTATGTTGATATGTGAGAAATGGCAACAGTTACAGTTTGTCAGCTCGGCATATTTCAATAAGTAAGTAGAAACATCAGCTAAAAAGGATTTGCTTAAATCAATTCACAGACTCGATATCACTACTTTAAATAATGAAGATGCTCGGTGTTAAGGGTCAACTGGGATGCACACTGCATCTAAATGGTCAAGTTCTTTGAGATGCATTGAAAAAAACATTTGCAGATTATAAACATATATGGTTGTGTGATTTCTGCTGTGAAATGTTTTATAACTTACTTTTGATTAATAATATAGAGAGTTGGATTCCTTCATAAAGATACGAGCAGTCATAATTTTTTTTATGTTTAGATACTGGCAAACTAACATTGATGTTGAGAAAGACAAACATAGATCTGAGGTAACTGTTGAAATAGAGGAACTGCAGGAAGAACTGTCCCCCACTGTTAGCTCTGAGTATCTCTCTGAACAACTTATTACACTTGACTTACAGGTGAGTACATTAACTCTGAACAACTCTCTGAATGACGTTTAACACTATACTGAAATGTGAGTTCAATAACTCGCTTAACAACTTATAACACTCTATCAAAAGCTAGTACAAAAACACTAGACATACATGTGAGTACAACTCTCCATGTGAGTACAACTTATCGCACTGAACTTAAATATGAGTATAACACCTCTCTGGAGAACTTATAACACTGGACTTACGTGTGAGTACAACAACTCTCTGAACAACTTATTATACACTTGGCTTACAAATGCTTAGATTAACTCTCTGAACAAGCTGGACTTAGTGTATATAATAAACTCTTTGGACATGTTATAACTCTGGACTACACAATAAAAGTTAGAACTTGACTCTTTAAAAGCCAGGGTATTCAACATGTAAAACTGATGATACTGTTGCTGTTGTTGATACCTAGGTTAATGCAAATGATCTGAATCCTAAAGTGACCATTGTTCAACAGCCTGAAGTGAATGAGACTACAACCACCACTACTAAGACCATTACAACAACAACCATAGAGGAACAGGAGATGCTGGATGCTAACAAAAATAAGTAAGAATAAGTAAACTGCAAAAGTTTGTGGATGCCGACAAGATGAAGAATCATTATAATTGAGCTTTATTCTCACAACTATGTCTTTCTCTATTGATGCAAAATTGTATTGTATTGTACTGCATGGGTTAAATATTGTACTAAATTTTCTTTGCATTGTTTTGTTAGACAAAAGCCCCAAAAGAAAGAAGAAGAGGAAGAAGAATGGAGTGAAACTACCGAGGAACTCACCAAGACAACACAGATAGAAACTACTAGAGAATGGGAGAGAAAAGGTAAAAAGGATTAAGTTACATAATTTGCATTTTTCGAAGTGACATAAGGTTTTGTTTCTGGAATCACTTCATGATTATGTGCAATCGAGCCATTTTAGTTGCTGAGTTTGGATATGTTGGCAACAAGAGTTCCGAAAAGATGTGTGAAACATTTGTCTATGGGGTTCAAGTAAAATGAATTTTGAAATATTTGAATGAAGAACGTTTACAATTATTCCAAAAATCATATTGAAGGTACCAAAATAGAGAAAGATGTTAAGAAGAAAGCGCCAAAGGTTGAATTAGAATGGGAAAACAAAGGAACCAAGATTCAACATGGAGACACGTCACACGGTGATGGCTGGAGCGAGACTGGAGACTACATCACAAAGACTACATCCTATGGATTATCTAGTTCAGCTAATAGAACACCAAATGGTGTTGCCTCATCGAGGGTAAGGATATTGAACTAAAGTACTTCTGCTGGAGTAGATCATTTTTGTTATTATGTTTAATAAAGGCTAACTCTAATGAAGAATAGGTCCCTGTAATCGACCAATGGTTTTATATATAATGATTAAAATAGGTTGGAATTAGATATCCTTTTCTGTTTTGCTCATGGACGATTTGAACTATTTGCTAATCCATGATTCTGGAATAAAATTTACTTACATGATTTTTTCTTATTTCTTATTGTAGACTGTTGAGATTAACCGTTCCCCTGGTTACCAACAAGGGTCAGGGGGTCGTAGTGAGGTAACTGTAAAGTCAACCACTTACAGCCTCGATGATACCGACCACTATCCTGGTGACTCTAGGGATTATGATGAAAGTGGCGAGACCAAGAATGCACATGCCGATGAAATTATGCATGCGTCCAGAGAAGAACAGAAGAAATTCGTCATCCGATCGGTAGTTGATCCAAGAAATAAGGACGAGATATCCCTACAGCAAGCTATAATGTTAGGCATTATAGACCCTAACAAAGGACTGTATGTAAATCCAACAACTGGCGAAACAATTCCAATACCAACTGCCATGAACGATGGGCTTATATCCGTTGAGTTTCAGACGGTGAAAAGATCCCGTGAGAAGATGGACAAGTTCGGTTTGATTACGATCAAAACCAAAAAAGAGCAACCAAAGTCGTATACAATTAAAAACGTACTTGATATGAAGACAGAAAAAGAGCTAACACCTGAACAGGCCTCAAGACGTGGTATCCTTAATGAAGATGAACATACATTTAAAGATACTGCCTCTGGTAAAAGTATGTCACTCTCCGAGGCTATTGAACAGGGTTGTGTTGCTGTAGAATATGGCGAACCGGAGGGACCTCCTGAATATGAAACTAAGACGTATGCTGTGAGAGCAGCCGTTGACCAACGTTTAAAGAAGAAGATTCCATTCAGTATGGCTGTGACTCGGGGTGTAATTGACAGAGATACTGGAGCTTATGTCAATAATGTCACACACGAGAGCATGTTCGCAGGGGATGCAATAATGCGAGGATTCCTCAAAGCGAGATTGGTTGATGAGTCAGAGTCCCATTCACTGGACATTAACCCAGAGAATAAGATTGTAATTGAAAAGGTACAGAGCATAAAGAAAAAGTTATTCCAACCTTTGAAGATTTTAAGAGCTCTAAAAGCAACTGGTCAAATTGGACACAAGAAATAAGTCTTTGGTCGAACTATATATGCCATATAACAGACGCCACTCCAAGTCTTAGGTCTGACTTTAACTACGCACACCACTCCACTAAGTTTAAACTATGACATCAAGTAAGATGTACATGGACGCCATCTTAAGTCTTATATCTAACTATGACATATATGGACGCCATTCTAAGTCTTAGTTCTAACTATGATGTAAAGCAGGGCATATATGGACGCCATTGTAAGTCTTATGTCTAACTGTGACATAAAGTAGGACATATATGAACACCATTCTAAGTCTTAGGTCTAACTATGATAATAAAGTAGGACATATATGGACACCACTCTAAGTATAAGGTCTAACTATGACATAAAGAAGAACATATATGGACGCCACTTTAAGTATTAGGTCTAACTATGATCAAAAGGAGGACATATATGGACGCCGCTTAAGTCTTAGGTCTAACTATGGCATAAAGTAGGCCATATGTGGACGCCATTCGAAGTCTTAGGTCTAACTGTGGCATGCATTAGGACGTATATGGACGCCGATTAAAGACTTATGTGTAACTACATGTATGGCAGACTGTAAGACGTATTAGAGATTATGTCCAGGTCCTGTCCAGTTGTCTGTCAAGGGTATACCCAAAACTGTGTTTCAAATGGGGGTACTACTGATTAAGATATAATTATTTTGCAAAATATTTGGGTTTTCAGGAAATCTAATTTTCTAATCTTATTAAATAGTAATTTATATGCATGCAAGCTATTTATTTTATTATAATGTTTTACATTTCTATATAGATATGCCTATTAATCAAGAATCTCTGCTCTTAGTCTTCCTATAGTGATGTATACTGTATATTAGTGTTATAATATTGCGTACATTTATATCTTCGGAATGTATATACTGAACTGTACCGCTATGCAATATTTTGTATTTCTATCTGGCAGTCAATTTTTCTGTAATTGGTTGAACACTGGTCACAAGGCATGAAATAACCCACCATATGCAATATTTGTATTATATTTTTAAAAGATCGTTATCATACCCAGTGTGCTGCCATCTATATGAGTCAATAACACTATTTACTAGTAGTAATTATGGTTATTATATTTTTCAATTTCGTGATTAGGTTAAAGCTTTAAAAATGTATTGTACAGCGAGGTTTTGTAAACGGATATGGGAAAATTTATTTAATAAATATAATAAAAAAAACTTTTTTATCAATTTGATATTTGCAATCAATATTTGTTGTTTGGGCGATCATTGATGTAGAATACAGGGCTGATACGAAAGTAAGAAAAACTCTTATATGTCGAAAATAAATGTCACCAGAAAATAAACAGCTCATGAGAAGTCGATTCTAAAAATAAATATATTTCAACTTGTTAAGTTACCAGAGGTCATTCACAAACAACTCGTAAAAATTAAGAATTCCTAATATGATCGTGGTCTTACTCCCGGGTCTTACAATTACGTCATTGTATCCATGGTTACGACTAGTAATACTTCTGCTTTAGGGAATTAGACTCTATTACATCAAAAGTAGGGCGAAAGTGGCCTTTTTTGGCATGAGAGCGTCATGTTGTATTGAATGTCTTGTATGTTTTTAAAAAGTAATAAATATCCGAATAAAGACGTAACGTACTTAAGTAATAACGTGACCAGTAAGTCCATCAACTTATGAGAAAGCAATTACAAATGAAGGCTATGTACAACAAAATTACATAAGAAACTAAATCATATCACTGATTAATAAGATGTGTGAACACCCTACGAAAACTGCATGTGTGTTTCTTATAACGCGAACAATATATGAGAGGGTAGTCAGGACCTAAAACGATACGAAAAAAACTTAATCTAAAGGAATTATGTTACAATCACCAAATTTAATTCCCATGGTTACGGTTGCAATAAAAAACGTCTGAATAAACAAGCATTTCTGTACGTGCCTCATGCCTGACCACGCCCATGAACATAAAAATAAACTAATTTGCCGCTCCTTACATTTTCTCTGGTTGAAGTCAATAGTTCAATATACGATTATAATATATCGGGTGTCCCAAAAAGTCAAACTTTTTAATAAGTATTTTCTAAGCTACTCATAAATCAAGTTTAGTTAGAATTTCCATAAAGTAGCCTCATGGTGCCATTAAAAAATCTACAAATAAGGAGATCGGTTAAATTGACAAATTCATTAATGCTTGTCAAAAATGCAAAACCAGAGCTGCGCACTGAGACCATCATAACGTCCGTGCCTGTTATCAGGTGATAGAATCTGTCAATCAGTTTTAGTCTCAAAAACAGCTTGTCTGTGTGTCAGGTTTATTGACTTGTTTTACTGTTCTCTGTTGCAAAATCAAAAGTGGGCCTTTCTGGGCATAACTTTTTAGGCCAAATTTTAGGCCAAAAATGGGCCTTCAATTTTCAAAATTTGGTCCCAATTTGGTGTTTTTCTTGCACATTTTTTTCAAGACTTGAAATGTGCACCCCCCCCCCCCCCCCCTTGCTAGCCTCTGGATCCGCCTATGAGGTGACCGGTTTTGATGGCAAAATGGCGGCTATAGTAGAAAGTTCCCTTTAATTCAATGCCAAAAAAGACACAAACGAATTTTTGCGTGAAAAAACAGCATCTTTCAGACTGAAGTAAGTGGCTTTTCCATTGATATTGGATTTTTTGACATGCAATATTTGAAAATACTTGTCAAAAAGTGACGTTTTTGGGACACCCGATATATACTTAGCGACATGGTGAAACTGCAAATGAAACATCTTATGAAACACACGGGTTGCATTTCATGCCGATAGCGCTATCGCTATGACGACGCATTGCTTCACACAAGCGGCGTCGGGTGTGTCTTAATGAACCTGATGCTGTCTTGATGACTGCAGGTTTTGCATTGTGGACAAAGATATTTCACCGAAAGTATCGCTGGCAACCTTACTGTACGTATTGCTGACAACGGTTGAGCTTGGGTTGTAGACGCAGATATCTTACTGAACGTAACGCTGACATTTATTTCCGGTTCCTTAGCTTTTGGGCGTAGCTATCTCACTAAACGTATCGCTGGCAGCGTTTGGCTATACGGGGCTTGAGTCATATATTGCAGAACGTTGCGCGAACATCTGCTTGCTTTAGATTTTGGACGCAGATATCTTACTGAACGTATTGCTGACCACGGTTAGCGTTGGGTTTTAGACGCAGATATATCACTAGACGTACTTAACGCATCGCTGGCAAAGATTGGCCTTGGCTTGTAGACGCAGATATATCTTACTGGATATATCGCTGACAACGTTTGGCTATACATAGAAGGCGTAGATATCTTAATGAACGTCTCACTGGCAAAGGTTGGCCTCGGGTTTTAGACACAGATAGATATTGAAGAACGATAAGCTAACATCAGCTTGCTTTATATTGTGGACATAGATATCTTACTTAACGTATCGCTAACAACGTTTGGTCAAGGGTTGTAGACGCAGATATATTGCTGAACGTACTTCACGTATCGCTGGCAACGGTTGGCTTTGGCTCGTAGACACATATACACTGCTGGCCGTATCGATTTAAACGATGGGTCTTAAGTTTTTGACCCAAATCTACATATTTATGCAGATGATATCATGTGGAACCATGATGCTAGATGATATTGAGCTAAGAGATGAGTTGCGGGATCAAGAAAATCAAGTGACTGGGGGTCCACCTCATACAACAGAACTGTTAAATAGCACGTATGATGGAACCAATGACTGGAACGCAGGAGTACATGGCGATAATACAGAAATAGAGCTTGAAAACGGCACGAGTGATAACACGACGAGATCGGCAAAGGCTTCTTCTTCAGCTCCTCGTGGAATATTAGGACATGCGACCAATGTTGTTAACAGCACAGATAATGGTGATGGCGTTGATGGGAATGGAAATATTACCGAAACAGAGCGTGGTTATTCCATAATGAAAAAATCAAAAAACGACAGCGCAATGTTTAGTAAAATAGCATGGGCATATTTAGGAGGCTTTTTTGGCATCCTTGTCGTTACAGTTGTAAGTCTTGGCTGCATTCTTAAGAAGGTTTTCTATTGCATAGATGAAGCGACTGAATCAATGAAAGATAAGTTCTAGCCGTTTCTCGAGCTCAAAACAATATGAAGAGTTTATAAAGATGTATTATTTATTGGATGGGCCAACTCATGTCAATCTTCATCTTGATTTTGCGTGACAAGGTCCGATAATATCACATACATGAATACATCCATGAGAGACAAAAGCAACCAGATAATAGCTTAGATGGCGAGTTTTGAAAATCCGTTCGTCTGCTGGTTTATGGATGATGGCTTTATCTATCAATGGTTCATGAATTTTCCCTATATCTAATGGTTCGTGAATGTTCCCTAGGTACACAAAATGTTCATGAAAATTCGATATATTTATTAATGGTTCATGAATGTTCGCTATATCTACTATTGGTTCATGAATGTTGGCTGTATCTATAAATGGTTCATGAATCGTCACTATATTTGTTAATGGTTCATGAATATTCCCTATGTATACATATTGTTCATGAATGTTCGATATATCTATTAATGGTTCATGAATGCTCGCTGTATCTATTAATGGTTCATGAATGCTCGCTGTATCTATTATTGGTTCATGAATGTGAGCTGTATCTATAAATGGTTCATGAATGTTCACTATATTTATACAAATGGTTCATGAATGTTAGTTCGCTATATCTCGCCGTAAATGACACTGAAAAGCAGGCTATAGAGAAGAGATAACGGTTAGCGAATATCACAGGAAGAAAGATCATGATTTAAATGTTTTCAAAAATGGCCCTTGGGACATTATCATTCTCATATGACGATCTTTCAACGAATAGTCCAATAATGTAGTCTTTTCTCGCTATCGGCTTGCAGGAAGCAGCATATTCACGAGAATCATACTGACAATATTATTCGTCAACGTCATCAAGATATGAAATGACACTGACAATGGACAAGCATATTAGCTACTATCTAATTAAATCTCAATAAGAATGTAATCTCCATTTAGGAATAATACTCCCCATATTATATAAAACTCAAACACCTATCCAATGATTTCTTACAATTTTATTGTAAATAAAGTATATTGAATTAAGTACAAACTGCATAAATTATATATAAAATGTGTAAAGTGAAGGTGTTATTTGCATGATGGAAATGAATGATACTCCCTTGTATCATTAAAGTGGCAATAAAGAATAGAGGAGTTTTCTGAATTGAAAATTTTACAAAAATTTTTGATTATAGCATTCTTCATCATGCCGCTTAAAAAGGATATACAAGTATTGTTAAAATGAATGGATTTTAAGGTATTTTGGCAATAATTCCGAAAAAATGAGATATCATTTTTAGAGATTCTGATCAACATTTTACACCCCTCAATCCTTTATTGCCCCTTTAACTAATATTCAACTGTTATTGTCATCTTAATTCAGTACAGAAAACAACTGTATGAGGACAGACGAAACCACAAATAAATTACATTATGTTTTACATCATTTAAAGGCCCCATGCAAAATTAAAATTTTGATTACATGAGATAAGATCACAGTTCAAAATATAAACCAAACTTCCACAAGACCTTTAATATTTGACATCATTCCAAGATTCTTGAAGTTCAACTACAGTTTATGTTTTATACGAAAATTAACATGCAATAAACAAAATGAGATCACTATGTGGCACATAGAAAGTGTCTACCCTTAGAAATAACATGATTTCATATAATCCTTGATAATCTTTTGATCTAGCCTTATATCCAATAAAAAATACATTCATAGTTCGAGAATGAACAAACAACAGTTAATGAAAACATAGAATTAAATCCCATGCTAAGAGCTGATGTGAAAAAGTCAGTCCACCCTGGTGGGGATTGAACCCACAACCCCTCACTTTGCAGGTGATTGCTCTACCATGTTAAAAACTGTAAAATCGTTTTTATTTTATGTTTATTTTGGCATATTTCTGATCAGATACACGCTGAGCCCCTTTTGATTACATACACCAGGAAGGAAGTAGTACTAGTACTAGATACATGTATACTGTAGTATCATAAATGCCTGCTTTGTGTCCTGTGACAATTTTTATACGAACATATCTTGTTGACTTATGTGTCAAGAAATACAGTGTCACATCTAAACACAAAGATATAAATCAAATGGCGGCTATAGTAGAAAGTTCCCTTTAATTTAGATTACATCTGTTTTAGTGATTCGATTTTCGTATAACCTAAACCTTTATGTATCTAATAGTTATGTAAATTAAATTATCTCCAGTAACAGAAAATGTTATCTGTCCAATACAAGAAAAGATATTTCACTTTTTATAATTTTGTAACATGGGATCTATGGGGAATCAACCCGAACTAGTAGTCATATTTTCAAAAAAAAAATTTCAAAGTTGATAAACAATTTTTGAAACCTTATTTTTAGATGTCGACTTCTACATATAGATTTCAAATAAAGATGTCAGTCAAGATTATTTCTACTTGCATCTAGTCTATTGAATTCAAAAATTATAATAGTGTAATATAAAAGGCCATAGGTACCATTATGATAAAAATCTTGGCAATGTGATTGGTTATTATCAAAGAGGATTAGCTCCCAGAATGCAATCTCAATATTTTCTAACAATGAAAATGTCATTATTGCCTAATATTAAACTGGCCATATATTCATAATCAATCAAAGCTCATATCCAAAGTTCATATCTTGATCACTTGTTGTGTATTTTGATTTTTTGTCTAAAATCACGATTCAAAACCTGAAGTGAAAACTGAGTGAAAAAATAAATTTTGCAATCACAAAATCTTTCAAGATACGGCTTTAATACCTGGGACTTTGTATGTGTCACCAAAAAAATGAAATAATATCCACATTGGCTCCCAGCATTCTGGGAGTCAATCCTCTTTGGGTTACTATTTTCTCTTTAAATTAATAACTGACTACACTGCCATCTTTAAATCAATCAGGTACTTGTAATTCAGTTCACTAAATTGTATCTTATATAGATTGTCCTGCTCACAGGCCTGAAAAGCACATGATGATTTGTGGCTGTGCATTATCATGGCGTATATAAGGGTTATGTACTGGGAGGTTTTGGATATGGGGTTTATCCAGAGGGAGATATGCATATCTAGCCGAGGGACCGTAGGGACCGAAGGTAGATGTGCATATCTCACGAGGGATAAAACCCATATCCAAACCAACCGTACATAACTGCTTTATCCTATACCAAGTAAAGTTTTCAGGGGCATATTGCCATTTCAATAGTACAAGGTGTAAAAATAAACAGATCATTCATATGCAAAGTCATTTTATTGCATTTCCACTACTTATCGGAAGCGGATATGGAAACCTCTAAATCAGGATATGGGATATATCTTATCAACTTATCTCCCTAAAACTCTACTTGACATAGGATAAACAGAATACCAAAAAGTGCCTCCCCTATATCACAAGGTCATTTCCTATACTTTATCAAATTGGCGGGTGTCATAAATACAAGTTTGTATACCCCAGGAATAGCAAAGCATGGTCGTAAATGCCAGTTGTCTTGCCATAATTTTACATAATATTTAAAATATATTGAAATTGTTGCATAATGATGGTATCATCATTCATGTTTCATTCACCTCAAATTTGCCTCGCTTATATATTGCCTCACCTATAAGCCCACCTATAAGGATCCTGACTATGCCCCTGGCCTGTATACTAGGTGGTACTATGTACTAAGTGTACTATATCAGTTTAGGTGGGTTATTTGTATTTTTGCTAAGCCCTCATGCTCCCCGCCTCCCCCTGCTCTTGAACATCCTCCTATTGTCACGTTGTTACAAGTTGAAATACGTTAAATGTATATAAAAAAAGAGCAAAAAGTTTATACTATATTTCACTCAGTACCAATCCATGTTTATATAGTAACATGAATAACTATCCTCTTGAGTGATTTGCATTTTGCTATGCGTCCCTTTCCCTGCTCTTAAATATCGGATTATCCCCCTTCCTCTGCTCTTAAATATCAGATAATCCCCCTTCCCCTGCTCTTAATTAAGAAATATAGACCGAAAAGCAGGGGTTATATCGTCGAATACACCCCTTGGGGCTAGGCACAAACGTTTTCTGTACCCCGAACGACCGAAGGGAGTGAGGGGTTCGAAAGCTTTTGTGCCTAGCCCCAAGGGGTGTATTTGACGATATTACCCCTGCCCTGAGGTCTATATTATGATTCGAACATGAAAACTCACCAAATTGTTTCGAATATTCATCATGGTCCGCCATAACTACGACCTACCGTTATGACGTCACATATTACACGTATTAACTGGGTTATTGATCTTGAATATAACTCAGCTGAAGCATTGACTTTGTTTACAGTTTATAGAAGGGGTGAAAACAGTCATGTTCGAATATCAGATAATCCCCCTTCCCCTGCTCTTAAATATCAGATTATCCCCCCTTCCCCTGCTCTTAAATATTCCCATTCCCCTGCTCTTAAATATTGTATTATCCCCCTTACCCTGCTCTTAAACATTCCCCTATCTCTGGCTTTGCCCCTGTATACTAGGTGGTGGTACATATGTAAATATCAGTTGAGGTGGGTGATTTGAATTATTTGCAAAGCAACTGTGCCCCATTCCCCTGCTCTTGAACATCCTCCTACTCTGGAGAGAAGTAGATAGAGGGGAGGGGGGTCAAGGGACTTAAAACTGGACTCAATGATTTTCAAAAAAAAATGTTACAAGTTTAAGCATGAACTTCAAGTACACAAATTCAGTTATCAAAGTATAATTAAGAACAATTCAAAGCTTTAACTACATTTCACTCAGTACTGATCTTAATATATAAAGTAACATGAATGACTCTTGACTTATAATTCATTCATTGAGAAACAATTAAGATCAAACAAATTTTTTCATGGCCAAAAAAAGTGACAGCCAGACAACAATTCTTTCAAAAACCTCTGAAAAAATTTAAATGCCCTTATTCAGAAATTGCCAATCGGTACCTTTTTATTCATTAGTATGAAAGAAAATAATATAATTGAGATATCTCTTAAGAAAGTTTCTGACATTTTTCTCATAATAAATTAGTTTTGTATGACTTATTGCCAAATTATGAGACTGTCAAAAGTAAAATATAATTGAACTTTATGATTCAAAGACTGCCAAAACGATAACTTTTTTTACACAATAAAACTTGGCTTATGAGAAAAATACTGGTGAAAAGTGTTCAAATACGAGAGGTGTTCATCTGAGAGATGCTCATATTCAAGAGTTCACATATTTGTGAGGAGTTAACAATTGAGAAGTGCTCACATTTAATAGGTGTTGAGGTGTTCCCATTACAATTTAAAAGTGTTCTAATATGAGAGGTGTTCATATCTGAGAGACACTTATATTCAAGAAGTTCACATATTTGTGAAGAGTTCTGAGAGACACTTATACTCAAGAGTTCCCATATTTGTGAGGAGTTCTGAGAGTCACTTATACTCAAGAGTTCCCATATTTGTGAGGAGTTCTGAGAGACACTTATACTCAAGAGTTCCCATATTTGTGAAGAGTTCTGAGAGACACTTATACTCAAGAGTTCCCATATTTGTGAGGAGTTCTGAGAGACACTTATACTCAAGAGTTCCCATATTTGTGAGGAGTTAACATTTGAGAAGTGCTCACATTTGAGAGGCATCAAGTTGTTCCCATCTCAATTTAGAATATATGAGAAGTTCTCATTTAGATGTCGTCACATTTGGCTAAGTTTTAAAATTCAGCACTGAATTAAATATTATTATGACAAAACTTTGTCAAATATTTAATGTTGATGTTTCATAAAAATGTTGAGAATTTGGCATCCATTTTATATGGCATTGTTTCAATAAGCACTGTCTAAGACACTTAAAACGCTCCTTTTAGGCTATCACATTATGATTATATGGAACTTTACTATATACAATTCATTTTTTGATAATGAAAGACAAAAAACTTGGAGCTCGTTAAGCCTCAGTCACATAGGGTGGCAATAGCTTCACAAATTCGATATAGAAAATCTATATTGTACTGCTAATTCCTATATTTTATGCAGCATATTTCTTTCGATTTTGGGAAGCAACAGCCATTGTACAAAAGCCATAGCAGGGTTCTCACCAGGAAATTTTTAGACCCTGGATTTTTAGCGGTATTGTGACTACTTTTTTCGCGGTATCGCGACTACTTCTCCCCAAAGATATCAGAGATATCCGATTAGTATACTTTTCAACATACTTCTTAAGATTATCTTGCTATTTTAATCCCAAGAGTTTTACTGCAAATAATGTGAAAAAATGTAAAATTAGACTCCAGAAAAAACACTGATAGACTCCGGAAAAGCTATTAGACTCTGGAGTAAGATGGTTTTAAGACATTAGACTCCGGAGAATCTCCGGAGTCTAAAAGCCTAGTGAGAACTCTGCATAGATCAAATGTGACTGAGGCATTAGTTCTGATTCACTTGATTTTTCAGTACATTCAAATAAAAGAAAATAACAGCAAATGGTACACAACATTGAGTTATAAATTCTATACATAACATAAAACAGCATCCATATATTGACATTAACATGACAAAATCTCAGCACCTGGTAAATTATGGCAAATCGTTACAAAATATTTCCCCATGCCTATCTGAATAAGTTTTTGATAAAAATATTGACGTCCAGTGGCATAGACAGGATCTAAAATTTGGCGAGACAAAAAACATTATGCGAGCAGTGTTCTCAGCAGGATTTTTTCTCAAGTGGGTGCAAAATTCTCATTTTCACAATTTAGATCAAAATTGGTCAAAATATGCCCATTTTTCAAGATTCTTCACATTTTCAAGTGGGTGCAAATAGATTTTCAGGTGGGTGCAAGCATGTTTTTAAAATCTAAGGTGGGTGATGAGCCCACTTGCTTTAATGCTGGGGAGATCACTGCTGAGGCAAATTTGGACTGCAATGCTACCCTTAGATTTCATTTCCACAATTTTAGTTGCAAAAATTTCTGAAAATAATTTTTTCTGAAAAATTTTGGTGAGGTAAAAATCAAAAGGTGAGGAAAATGACTGTATTGCTACATCTAGACTTTATTTCCACAGTTTTAGGTGCAAAAATGTCTGAAAATTATTTTTTCTGTAAAATTGTGGTGAGGCAATGAGGCAATTACCTGACCTGTCTTTGCCTCATACCTGGTTACAGCAATGTCTTCTGTCTGACAGTTCAGTTCAGAGATTTATTTGAGATCTTTAACTCCTCTTGGTCCTGCGCTTATTGATATGTTTCTCTGGATCAAACCTTATGTTAACCTCTCTCTTAAAAAGTCCATGATCTTCATTATTCATAACCTCATTCACGTATTCTTCATCGACATTTTCATCTTCGTCAGCATCACTACTAGCCTCACCAATTCGATCAATTGTCTCAATTTTACCCAAATCTGAACCAAACTTTGCGTGTAATCTCTCAAAGAACAGTGTTTTGGCATATTTATAAAGTTCAATATCTAAGTGATTTATTTTTTGTATCTCCTCTATATCTTCAGATGATAGCTTTTCAGTGACGTCACTAGCGTGAGTTTCATTATATTGGATGAAATCATTTATAAATTTTATTTTAAATGTGTCTTCGAACATCATCTGAGTATAACGTTGATATTCAGTCAAACCAAAAAAAGCCATATCAAGCAAATTTTGCTTTGCGCTCTCTAAAATAACCTTATCTCTTTCAGTTTTTGACATGGCACTAGTGTCGTAACATTTGGCGAGACTTAAATCGGCCAGCATCCTCGCTTGCCGATTATTGGCGAGATTATATGGACACTTTATAAATTCATTTAAATGGACACCTTCCCAAGTGTCCCCCTCAAAACAAAATGGAACTTCGGTCAATGTGGCTTGATGTCCGTCACATTTTAATTTAGCTGCTTTCCAGGTAGCGCCTCGTTTTACATGTTTCCACTCGCTGAGGTAACGTTTCACGGGATCTCGTAGAATTGTTATATAAAGGTACCTGAAAATACAAAGAGAATTATCATTCATCATTCAGCATATAAATTCAATAAAGAGGACCAATTACTTTCAATCGTACCATGGCCCTAGCTCAGTGTTAAGATTGAGACCTCTTTTTCATTGGTTTATAGCTATGACTGGTTTAAGTCATTTATTTTCTAGAAAATAGCGATTTAAAATCTTTTAAAAGCACCTCAAACAATAAAAATTAGTCTTCGCATAATGAAACAATATCACGGCTAGTTATAAAATATACATCATATGTAATGGATAAAGTTTAACACAAATGTTAAATTGATTAACTTTGTTGAACTTTCAATCTAATGGAAACATCACATAAATGGGAGCTAGCATATTTAGGATAGATGTTCACATTAAGAGGTGTTCACATAAGTGAGGTGTTTGAATGCAGGTTTCACTAAACTTTATTCAAGGAGAAGTAATAATTTGTTTTTTTACCCGCATGGGTGTCAGTTGGATTTTGATATAATAGCTTTCCCACGGAGCATTTGGACAGCTCAATGATTGTGACCTTTGAAATCGAATTAAGTCGATCAGCAGCTTACTTTTGGTCTCTAACTGTGTCTTACATCAGTATCATCAATCTGTGTAAGTATTAGAGCGCTGAAATACTTCTTTTTCGATCAAGACTTGTAAATTGTTCATCGAGTGAATGTTTTTTAGACCTATTTCCAATATGGCGGTTTGCTAGGAGCGAGATACGCAACGAACGAAATGAATTTTGAGAATTAGTTAGGTTCGGACAACCTCCGGAAATGTACGAAAATGTCCGAGCAGAAAACGCCATATTGGAATTCGGCAGTAAAAAGTAAAAACATTCACTCCACTAACAATTACAAGTCTTGATCGAAAAGGAAGTACCTCAGCACTCCAATACTTGCACAGAAGGATGATAATGATGTATAGCATAGTTAGAGAACAAAAGTAGGCCGCTGATTGACTTAATTCGATTTCAAAGGTCACAATCGATGAGCTGTCCACTTCCCCGTTTGAGAGCCATAAGTTTCAAAATCTAACATGGCTCTCGAAGTGAGTAATGCAAACTGTAATTTGTATCTTAAATAAATACACCATTTGATATGATAGCACAAGACTTATATGATATAATACAAGTATATATAGGGTGTCAATTAAGTCTAAACTTTAGACAGACCTTGTTAATTGTAAAGATACTTTATGGACAGCCTGTATTTGAGAAGGACCACAATACATTGGAACATTGATGAGTCAATTGTACATGTTGCTTGTGATTTGCCATCTTCTCTTCTGCCTTTTAGTGACATAAAACATTTTGGTTTGATTTCAAAGAGCGAGTGCTGACACATAGTTCAAGCGAACTCCCCCCTGGCTGAAAATTATTTCAAAAACATGCAGTTTTTCATCATTCTGAGCGCTTTTCAAGTGGTTTTGGCCCTTTTTGGCCCAAAGTTGGCAAAAGTGAACCCCCTGGAAAGTCAAAACCCCTTAGCAAATCTTTGCTATGGGTCTGACACACATGTGCTATATCCAAAATATGGTGATACATTGAAAATACCAGTGTTATAACAGAAATACCAGTGCTATATCAAAAATGCAAGTGCTTTATCAAAAATACAAGTTCTAAATCAAAAATACTAGTGCTATAGCAGTGCTAAATTGAAAATACCACGAAGCAAACAATTCTCATGTTCCATCAAAGGACTATGTAAACATCTTATATTTAATTGAATTCCAAACAATTCAAATCTATATATTAATTCAGATGCAGCTAAGTCAATATTATTTCACCCGTTCCACTAATTCATAGAATTCTATATCCCAAATCCATTAAATAAACATTTATTAATCAATTTTTGCATCACGTAAATGGTTACACTGTAAGTAAAGTGTATTTTGTTGATATTAAAACATCTTTATTAAGTATTAACTTGTCTCTTAATCATATTGATTTTAGTTTAGAGTTACTGGAAAATATTGCTCATAACGAAAACTTCAAAATGAGAAAATTTGTGATTATCCTACACTAAGCCCATATGCAGGTTTAAGAAAATACGAGAGTTGATCATAAAGTTCTCATACCAAAACTTTTATTTTCATTATATCATATTGAAATGTTCATAAAATATGCAACATACAAGTACATGTACCTAAAATACGACAAATGTATTCAGATATTATGAGAACTTTATGATCAACCCTCCGATAACTGATTTTATTAAGTTTGAATCAATGGAGCTATTTATTTCCGTCGTCATATATGAAAGTTGACGATGATGATTCCAAAAATATGGTCAGAAAAGATGACCTCAACCCCTGTAGCAACTTGATAAATATGAAACTTACTAAATCTTTTCCAAAAATGATAAAATGCACATCATTTTTTAATTTAATTGACAAGGGGGAACAAAACATTATTTTGAAATCCCCTCCAGTACTTCTACATGAAAATTCCTTGTTTAAAAGAGTAGACGTTTACTTTGACATTCTCATTGGTTGTATAATTTAAACGAGAGCAGGTTGTCCTGGTAATAATATAGGAGGAAACAGATCAGCCGATCGTTTATGTTCCCACAGATGGATCAGGAGATATTTTTATGTTTGATTACAGTCAATAGTCAATACAGTTACACCTGTTTTAACGATTTGTAGTCTATGGATTAAGCTTTGATTTTTTATGCATATAGGTACCAGTACCAGTAACATGGGAGATATTCAAGAGCAAACATCTGACTAAAATGGTGTTCATATTTCAAGGTGTTTACTTCAAAAAAAGGTTTTTCTCATTTCAGGGTGTTTACTTCAAAAAAGGTGTTCACATTTCAAGGTGTTAACTTCAAAAAAAGTGTTCACATTTCAAGGTGTTTAATTCAAAAAAGGTTTTCCACATTTCAAGGTGTTTACTTCAAAAAAGATTTTTCCATTTCAAGGTGTTTACTTCAAAAAGTGTTCACATTTCAAGGTGTTTACTTCAAAAAAGATTTTTCACATTTCAAGGTGTTAACTTCAAAAAAGGATTTTCACATTTCAAGGTATTAACTCCAAAAAAGGTGTTCAAAGTGTTCACCTTTACATGTTTAACTGTTCATCCCATCCTAGGCAATAGACAACCCTTAACAAATAAGCTGATTTCTTAAACACTCCAAAATAGTGTCGATTTCTTTAAAAAGCTCTCCAGGTTAATAAAACCTGATTTATACCGTAAATACATGTCTTATCAATGGTCGTGACTCGGGCCTTTACATCTCTATAACTCATTCTATCACCTCTTCATGACCAAATAACTGATAAAAATATAATCAAATATTTTTGGTACCCTTTGAAAGACTGATCAACTTTGCCTGACACTCTTAAAAATTTGATAAACTTTATAAACATTCTTTCGAAATCATGCAGTTTTCACCATTGTGAGCACTTTTCAAATGAATTTGAATGCCACCTGGATTTTTTAGAAAGTGTACCCCCCCCCAAAAAAAGTTGCCAATGGGCCTGTTATGTGTAGCTCGTGTTGATTTCTTCTTCAATAAAACCCAACCCATTCACAATTCCAAATCGTTTACTTGTCAAAAAGTGGGTAGTTTTAGTTTTATTTGCCAACTGTAATATCGTTATAAACATCCCACATCCCAGGTTTATCCACTGCATCAACAGAAGTGTATTATTTCATAATCTTTGACAGTTTTTATAAACATTAAAACCAGCCAAATAAAACTAGTCATATAGCAAGTCATTCAAGATCCAGGTTCTCATAAACTCTAACATTTATGAAACTTTGTTATTGTATGGTATCATGTGAGAATTTAATAGCCAAGTGTTTACAGTACCAACTGACTATGCTAAGGATTGTATATTCACTCTACTATACCTAACACCTAGAAATGCATAAGATACTCTGTTTGTCTACCTGTATTGTTTAATATATATTTTTTATGCTGGGCATAAAGAGTGATATCACAAATTTTTTTTTGCTAAAAAACAACAAATCCGAGTATAGGTCACAGTCCATTATTATATAATCCACCGTTATTATAACATGTCACCTCTTCTAGATGAAAACATAAAGTAATTTGTTCAAAAATCATGATTGTTCACATGTGGGAGGTGACACCCCATATAAATTACTTGGGCCTGATTAATTTCTAGACACCTTTCAAAAGTATTTGAGAAAATGTTGCTAAACACTTTCAAATGAAAACAGTTTTAGGCATGTAGCTCACACATGGTTAATACACAACTTTTGTGAGAAATTCTGGTAATAGGAACTCTATAGAAAGGATCAGACATATCATTCATTTCATATTTACTGAGAATGAGGTCAAATAAACATGATCAGGAAAGGGTTTAGTTGTGAAAAGATTTCATAATGGTCATGTTTTAAATTGAAAAATAGAGTGAAAAAGAGTGGAATCAACGAGGAATGAATTATATGGGCATCTAGAGAAAACTCTAAATTGTAGAGAAATGGCAGAAAATAAGGCACTTCATTCAAATTTTAGAGAGAAATATGGTGAAATAGGCATGAATGGAGGAAATTTTGAATGGGGTATGCAACATGTACTTCACACTTACTACTGCAACCTGCCATAGGGGATTGTGCAGACACCTATGGTTTTAAACCCAGAAGAAAAATGTTACGGAGGTCATGGTTTCAAACACATAAAAGAGGCTAAAATAGTGGAATTAGCAAGGAATAAAGCAACCAGGCATGAAATTAACACTCTAAATTATATAGAAATGCAAGAAATTCAGGCTGTTCATTCAAATTTCTAAGAGAAAAGTGTGAAATAAATACCACCTTCATTAAACTTTTTCTCTCTGAATAAATACAATATCCCCATAAATAAATCAAAATAGTGGTAGTGATTAAAACTGAAAGAGAGCAGAAAGATAAAACACAAAAAAACAGAAATGGAGTGAACACCTGGTCTAAATTACACCCCAAAACAGATTCTGTATTCCAATCTTTCTGAGAGAAAACATGTGAAAACAAGTAAAATATGAATA